CGTCTCCAGGATGGTGCTGGGGACGGGAAGGGGCATCAACGGGGTGTCCTCTCCCCTCCCCCTCCGGACCCCCACGCTCTTTCCTCTGCCAGGTCTTCTCCCCCTCCCAGGGGGATGGGCCCCTCGGCCCTGCCGGACCTGATCATGACGTTGGGCACTACCAGCTCATCCACCAGCTGGGAGAGGCGCCCGCGGACGGCCTGGCGGTTGCGCAGCCGGACGTTCATGGCGACCGACTGCTCCTGCAGCGTCTGGATCTCACAGCTGATGCTGCTCAGGTCGGACTGGAAGGAGCTCAGCATGGCCTCCATGCGCTGGCGGGGAGGAAGGAAGGGACCACCCTCAGTATCGGTGGGAGGGGGGGAAGGAAATAAGCAGGACAAATCCATCGTATCCTCCCTCCAAGGACAAGCATTCTGGGGTGTAGGAAACGGGTCCAGATCTGCACACAGGAGCCCCTTCAGATCAGCCTCCCTAACTTCTACCAAAAGGAAAAGGAGGCACCCACCCAGACGCCCCCCCCCCCCCCTTACTCCCTCAGGACACCTGGGAGAAGCCCCACAAGGGGGAGTATGGCCTCGGAATCACAATTCTGCCAGGCTACGTGGGGACCTTGTTCACACAACAGGAGAGACGTGGGGGGTCCCTGAGGGAGGCAACATCATCAGTGCCCAGAGAACACCAAAGGCCCCTCATGTCTACCCTGGGCCGTACAAATATTCTCCTTTATTAGGACAGACTCGGTTACACTGGGTTGGCGTGTTGTGTGAAGGACGCCCGTGAGTCAAGGCACCTTCACCTTATATAACCGTAGCCAATGACTTTGGGAAGCCCTGAGTTAGTGCACTGACCCTCTAATGGCTCAATCTTTCCCTCCCATCCTCCTTCCCTCCAGGGAAGCCCAGGCCCTCCCTCCAAAGAGGAGAAGGGTGAAGTCCCCCGAGGGGAGGAGAAAGGCAGCGAGGTCCAGAGCTCACCTCCAGGACGGCATCACAGGCCGTGATCTGGGTGTGCAGGGAGGCAATGTTCTTGCTCTCCTTAATATCTGGGGTGGGGGTGGGGGGCTGCTAAGGACAACAGTGGGTTGAAGGGGTGAGGTAGGGGGGGTTTCAGGAAGCCCCCAGGATTCAGCCTCCCCTGAGCAGGCGGAGGATACAGTCCTTGATGGAGGCGTTTTCGATCTGCTGCAGCTCCTGTTCCACCTGCTTGGAGTACTGGCGGAGATCCACCCCCTGCTAAGGCAAAGAGAGAGGGGAGTGATAAAGGGAGCTTCTCCCCTCAATCCCATAGCTCCCCTCACCCCCAGCCCCAGCTTCCATTTTTTCCCACCGTCTTCAGGGCCTCCTGCACCAGAGCGTCCTCCAGGTTGGCTTGGATGTGAACTGAAAGAGAGTGGGGGGGGGAAGGGAAGTAAGGCCTGCAGCAAACAGACTTTGGCCCCCTCCCCAGGTGACCTGACCCCCCCCTCAGGTGCTGCCCCAGGACTAGAGCCCCCTCCCCCCCACTTCCTCAGCTGCACCAGGAAGAACGTCCTTTTGCCAAGCTGGAAGGAGGGAGGTGGGGGGCTGTTGAGACACAGCAGCTCGTACTGGGAGATTGGGAACGGCTCTTCCCAACAGCAGAACCTTTCTGGGAGAAGTGGGACTAGAAACTTTCTGTGTGTCTTTCCTGCAGTGTGTGTATGTCTGTATGTGTGGGCGTGCGCGCGATGACGAAGACACCGCGATGGATGCAACGTCATTGTGGCTTCTCCTGGACACCTGAGTTTCCACCCTCTCTGAAAGTGTCTCTAGGCTGCAGGGGTCTCCAACCACCTCAGTCCTAGCTGTAGAGAGGCTGCAGGGGTGGGGTGGGAGAGGACCCCCCCCCAAAAAAAATTATGCCCAGCTTACTGTCCACTTCGTCCAGGATGAACTCTTCGGAGGTCAGGTCCAGCTCTCCCAGGTTGAGGGGCAGCGCCTCATCGCTCTGGCCCTGGAGGGACACAGCAAAGGCCCCCTTTATGCCCCTGATTTTTTTGGGGGGGAGGTCAAGCAAGGCAGCCCTGTGCTGATACAAAGGGCCTTGCACCCCCCCTGACCCTGCTTCCAGCGGGTTTAAGGGCAGGGGCTGCTCCAGAGGGCTTGCAAAGAATGTTCCATTCAGCAGGGAAGGATGGGCCACGTAGTGCAGAGGGCCAGAAGGAGAGTGCTCTCTTGTGCTTTTACCCCTCCCTCAAGGAACTTTTAGAATAGAATAGAACTGGAAGGGACATTGTAGTCCAGCCCCCCGTTGAGGCTGGAGACCTTAGACCAGTGATGGTGAACCTTTTTTCCCTTGGGTGCCGAAAGCATATGTGCTCTGCCCCCCAGTGTATGTGCACATAACCCCCCCACGCTGCCCCACACCCCCACGCATGCGGTCACGACCCTCCCGGCCCCATTTTGGGCCTAACAGGCCTCCCTAAAGCCTCCAGAGGCCAGAAATGGCCCGTTTCTAGACTTCCGGTAGGCCCGTTTTTTGTCGTCCCCAGGCTCCAGAGGCTTTCCTGGAGGCCGGGGAAGGGTGAAAACAGCCTTCCTGGCCCCCCGGAGGCTGGAAATGGCCCATTTCCAGACTTCCGGTAGGCCCGTTTTTTGCCCTCCCAGAGTCTCACCACAAGTGCTGCGCTTACCTGGAATCCAAAATGGGCCGCATGGAGACTTCTGGGAGGGGAGGGGTGGCATGGGCAGGGCCATCCGAAAATCAGATGGCTGGCACGCACATGAGCGCTGGAGCTGACCTAGGGCAACGGCTCCGCGGGCCACATCACAACTCTAGACCATTTCAGACAAATGGCTGTCCAATCTCTTCTTAAAAACCTCCAGTGATGAAGCCCCCACAACCTCTGATGGCAACTCATTAATTGTCCTCACTGCTAGGAGGTTTCTCCTTAATTCCAGGGTGCTTCTCTCCTTCATTAGTTTCCATCCGTTTGCTTCTTTTCCTGCCTTCTGGTGCTTTGGAGAATAGTTTGACTCCCTCTTCTTTGGGGCAGCCCCTCAAATACTGGAATACTGTTATCATGACACCCCTGGTCCTTCTCTTCCTTAGACTACTAGACATACCCAACTCCTGCAGCCGTTCTTTGTGCGTTTTAATCTCCAGGCCTTTTCATCACCTTAGTTGCCATGGAAGCTGACAGTAAACAGCCCAACCAAAGAATCACCAATGGGAGCAAATCCCATTTCTTATTAGCCCTGATGACGGTCTCTAGTCGGGTAATGAAACATCTGCGCAAAAAAACCCAGCAAGCAGCCAGGGCTACAAAGATTCTCCTTTATGGGTTTGATTCCCTCCAACCCAGAAAGTCCATGGGGGAAGCCACTTATCACCTGTTTCACTAATTTAAAAACAGCAGTGATTCACTTAACAACTGTGACAAGAAAGGTCGTAAAATGGAGCAAAACTCACTTCATAATGGATGGAAACTGAACCAGGAGAGATTCAACCTGGAAATAAGGAGAAATTTTCCGACAGTGAGAACAAGAAACCCGTGGAACAGAAGTTGCCTTCGGAAGTTGTGGGAGCTTCATCACTTGAGGCTTTCAAGATGGACTAACATCTGTCAGAAATGGTGTAGGGCAGGGGTGGGCAATTGTGGCTCTTTTACAACCTGTGGACTTCAACTCCCAGAATTCCTGAGACAGCTTGGCTGTCTCAGGAATTCTGGGAGTTGAAGTCCACAGGTTGTAAAAGAGCCACAATTGCCCCACCCCTGGTGTAGGGTCTCCTGCTTGGGTGTGTGTGTGTGTGGGGGGGGTTTGGACTAGATGACCTACAAGATCCCTTCCAACGCTGTGAATCTGAATTTAATCTGACTACCTGCATACGTCCAAATCCAATTGCAGATTTAAACAATGGGCGCGTATGAATTATGTTAGCAGGGTTTAAAGCATTAAACTTTATGCTTTACCCCAGGATGAAAGCATGATAAAATCGCCATGATACAGAACCCTAGAATCGCCATGGCCAAGGCCCCCCTGTGTGTGTGTGTGTGTGTTAGAGAGAGAGGGGGGGGAGAAAGAGAGGGGAGGGGGTCTCCCCCCCCGCAGTCAGGCGGGGGAGGGGTCGGGCCAAGCCCCCCCATCCCATCTGTGGGCCCCAAAGAGGCGGGTGGGGGAAGAGCCCCTCCTGCAGCCCCTTCACCTTATGGGGCGCCCCTGGCAGGCAGCTGGGGCACAGGGGCAGCTGCCATGCGCAGACCAGGCTCCCTGCAGAGGGGCGTTGTGGGAAGGTCCTGGCGGGGCCGCCCTTGGTCTGGAGGGCCTGGGAAGAAGGGAGGGGGCGCCCCAGGAAGGCCCGGAGGGGTGGAAGCGGCCTTGCACGGGAGTAGCATCTCCGCCCGTCCCGCAGGCAGGCCGAGACTCCACCGGTGCGTCGCTTCCGGGACCCCCCAAGGTTGCAGGCGCCCACCCGCCAGGTGCTGCCCGCCGGGGGTGGAGGGGTCAAAGGTGAAAGGGGGCGTGGCCGGGATGGATGGCCCCGGAGCGAGGCCGAGGGAGGGAGGGAGGGAGGGAGACCGAGCGCCGCCCACCTCCTCCTCCTCCGTGTCCCCCGGGCCGAACTGTCCCTGCGGGCGCCGCCGCATCTCCTCCGGTTCGGAGCCCACCACGGACGCCATCGCCGCACTGGCTGAACCACTTCCGGGTTGCGGGAGGGCACTTCCGGTCCCTTCTAAACCTGGGCCCAAGGGACTCCGAATCCCAGGGATCCCTGCGGTGACGTTAGCCTCCACGGCAGGAGTCACTGAGACTTCCTTCCGTCTGGAAAAAGAATAAAAAAGGCGCTTCTGAGTGTTAAGCGGGTCGGAACTTTTGTTTCTCCTTTCTAGTTTCCCCTCCGGACACAATAGGGCGGGCACACTTCATCCCTCGCTCGCAGAGATGTTCTGACTGTACGATATATGGCCTCAAGCCTCCTCTACATTTTATCTCTCTATGATGTAGGCCCAAGTGGCCTAGTAGTCTAAGGCGGCGAGCGACGCTCCTTCGTTTCTAATTCTATGGTCGCCATACCGGAAGTGCCGGTAGTTTCACTTCGGCTCCGGGGGGCGGGACCGACGTCGGGCCTCTCGCGCTGCGCCGCTTCCTTTTCCGGCCGAGTCGAGAGCGAGAGGAGCCGGTGCGCAGCCATGGTGAGTGATGGGGAGGCCCATAATCCACCGCCATCCGCCGCGGGGGCCGCGCTCGGCGGGTCAGGAGCGGGGTCGGGGGCGCCGGGGGTCTGCTGCGGGGACCGCGGGGCTGGAATGGGTCGCTCCCCGGGCAGGGCAGAGCTTCACCCTCCCCAGGTGGAACTGGACCGCTTGAACTTCAGCCTGGACGGAGGGGTCCGGCCTGTGTCGCCCCCCCGGACCTTTGACCTGTGCCCTCTGGCGATTCTGGGGCTCTACAGCAGGGCGGTTTTATCATGGTTTCATCCTAGTTTGCTTTAGCTCGTGTGTTGCATGGCCAACATAGTTTATATGCGCGCTTATATTTAAACCTGTAACTGGGTTTGGACGTATGCATGTATTCCTCGACTTACGACCACAATTGAGCCCATCATTTCTGTTGTTGAGCGAGACATTGAGTTTTGTCCCATTTTACGACCTTGTCACAGTTGTTAAGTGAATCACTGCCGTTTTTAAATTAGTAACACAGGTAATAAGTGAATCTGACTTCCCCCTTGACTTTGCTGGTCAGAAGGTCGCAAAAGGGGATCGCGAGACCCCACCGTTGTAAATAGGAGCCAGTTGCAAAGCATCTGAAATTGTGCAAAACGGTCTTGTTTCAGTGCCGTTGTAACTTTGACGGTCACTAATTGAACTGTTGTAAGTCAAGAACTATCTGTAATACAGTTTATTAGCATTGTGTATCTGTTTGCATGACCTCTGTGGGTGCCATGGACTAAATAAATATTGAACCTGGTTCCCGGTGCCCGGCTGGTGCCCTCCTCTTCTCCAGCCTTTGTCTCTGGTGCTGCCTGCGGAGAAGAGCAGCGGAGCTCACTGGGAGGGGGGGGCGCTGCAATGGGGACAGCGCAGGAGTCTCGCGCCAGGGAGCCAAGCTGCGTCCCAGGAGAAGAGCTCCTCCCCCCCGGCTTGTCCCCCCCTTGCAAGGCCGTTTCTCACGCAGCCGCTTCCTTCTCCCCACAAGTCTCTCGTGATCCCAGAGAAGTTCCAGCACATCCTGCGTGTCCTCAACACCAACATCGATGGGCGGCGCAAGATCGCCTTCGCCATCACCGCCATCAAGGTGGGTGAGAAGGCGCTGGGAAGCCATCCCGGTGGGGGTGGTGGGGCGACTGTATGATGGCCAGTGGGGGTGGGGGCGGGGGGCGGGCTGGCCCTTCCCTTGAGCTGGGCGAGAGGATGGAGAAGCGGTGAGGCCTTTGTTGGGCCGAGCCCTGACTGGCACTGGCAGCTCTTGCCAAAGTCTCTGTGGAGCCCCTAACAGCACATACAGGTAGTCCAGGAGCCCCAAATTTCTGTTGCTAAATGAAACATTTGCTATGTGAGTTTAGCTCCTTTTACGAATTTTCTTGCCACTCTGAAGTTGAATCATTGCATGTTTTAACTTAATAACACGGTTGTTAAGCGGATCTGGCTTTCCCCCTTCGTCGTAAATACGAGTCAGTTGCCAAGTGTCTGAATTTCGATCACAGGACCATGGGGATGGCACAGCAGTCGTAAGTGTGAAAAACTGTCCTAAGTCACCTGTTTCAGTGCTGTTGTAACTTTGAAGTGGTCACTAAGTGAACTTTTGTAAGTCGAGGACTGCCTGTATGTGCAGGGTCCCCACAGAGCTGCCTTAGGGAGGTTTAATGCCTGAGAAAAGGCATTTGATTGCATAAGCTTAGAAATTGAATAACAATAATAACCGACCGATGCTTCCCTTGAGACCGGTTCTGCTCCGGCCAGGCCAGCCTCCTTGACACCAAGGGCTGAGCGAGGGTCTTGGGTTTGGACCCCCCCCCCCGGGGCCTTCATTGAGGGGGCTGTTCCAGTTCCACCCACCTGAGCAAAGACCCTTGTCGGGTCAGCAGCCAAGTCTGGAGTCTGGAATTTTGAGCTGTGCAACACAGATTGGTTAAAAAGCACGTTTATCGTATTGGGTGCATTGGCTCAACTTCCATTGGGGCTCTGCTGTATTGGCTTTGAATTGGGGGGGGTGGGCAGAAAAGCTGCAATGGAAGCCCCCCTTCGTTCTGCTCAGATCTGAAAACATGACACTCCTTTCTCCCCCCCCCCTCCCCCTGCATCTTGGCTTTGAGCATCCTCTGGACTCGCTAAATTGTGTGAATTCATAAAGCCAGGTAACTCGTGAATGCTGATGGCAGAGAGTATCGTTCTGGTCCCGGAGGCGCAAGCAACTGGACCAGACAGCCCCTGGGGGTGTGTGTTCTGCCTGGCATCTCCGGGGGTCCCCCTCTGAGCGTCTCCCGCTTCCCTCCGCAGGGGGTGGGCAGGCGTTACGCTCACGTGGTGTTGCGGAAAGCGGACATTGACCTGACCAAGCGGGCTGGGGAGCTCACGGAGGATGAGGTGAGGAGGGCTGGGGAGCTGTGGGGGTCTGGATTTCGGGGAGGGGGAGGATGAAGCCGGGGTGGGGTGGGGAGTCCCTGGAGTGGCTAGAGCCTCTTGGTGAGCAGGGAAACCCAGGACCCCAACGGTCCCTCTGGAGGCAAAATAGCTATCAAGAATGGCCTGGTGGGTCATGCAGGGATTGGGTGACCTCTTCTACGATTCTACCCCCAGCCCTTTTTCCGGCACCCCACGAGGGGAGGGGTCTGGAGCCCCAAAACAAGGCCTTGTCTCTTCCCTGGAAGCCAAGGCATAAATTGTTCCGGCCCAGGCCGTACCGCAAGGCACCAGGAGTGTCCGTGGGAGGCTGTTCCCCTGTGGGGAATGGGGGCTCATTGCCAGCTATGTGTGTGTGTGTGTCGGTGGGGTGGGGTTGTCAGTGGACCCAAATGGTGTCCAGCTGATCTTCTGGCGGGAGCCCTTCCTTCCCCACCCTCGGCTCCATAATACCAGGCTGGGCCGGCCTCCTACCCTGCCCAGTGGGGGCCCTCTGACCTCTCGGTCTCCCCAGGTCGAGCGTGTCATCACCATCATGCAGAACCCCCGGCAGTACAAGATCCCCGACTGGTTCCTCAACAGGCAGAAGGATGTCAAGGACGGCAAGTACAGCCAGGTGAGCGTCGGGGGCCGGGCCTTTTCCCGGGGGTGGGCCTGGGCGGAATTGGCAGCCAGAGGGCCTTGGGGATGTTTGGGTGCAGAGGCCGGCCAGGGGACTTTGCTGAGGCCTCCTCCCCCTTCTGACAGGTCTTGGCCAACGGGCTGGACAACAAGCTGCGCGAGGATTTGGAGCGCCTGAAGAAGATCCGGGCCCATCGGGGCCTGCGCCACTTCTGGGGGTGAGTGGGGAAGGCAGAGGGGGCCCCAACAGCTGCACTCTGGGCTCCTGGAGTGGGCGGGGGTGGAGTAGATGGCCTCAGGGACCCCTTCCTGATCTGTCGTCCTCATCGGTCCCATTCTTTCCCAGCCTCCGTGTCCGTGGCCAGCACACCAAGACCACCGGGCGCCGTGGCCGAACGGTGGGCGTCTCCAAGAAGAAGTAAACCTTTTGTGCTAATAAAATGTTTTCCTCACAGGTCTCTGGCCGTCTCTTCCTTGGGGCGCGTGGGGGGGCAGAGGTGGGGCGCCTGGCGAGTGCCGTGGCCGTGGCAGGGCCAAAGGGACGGGGCTTCCGGGCGGTCTCCTGCCCAGAAGGGAGAGTGCAGGACTGGGCCATGGCCAATTGTGGCCGGGGGTTCCCAAGGCCAGGCTGGGAGTGGGCCATTCCCTTTCCCTGGGGGCCCCAGGAGAAGCTGGGGCTGTTGTGGAGGGCTGGACACAGAGGGTTGTGAAGGTGTGTAGGCAGGCACCGACACACACAACCTGGATTGAAACAACAGAGGCCTCTTTCAAGCTGAATCCAACACACTTGTCTGGTGTTTGTTTATATACATTCGATCTCTTAATTTCTGATCGACCTCTTGAGGGCCAGACAAGGAGAGACGGACGTGGCCCAGACGCTGTAAAATGCCCAGGTCTGCTCTAGGTGGTTCTGGCTGGGGATGAGGGTTGCTGTAGTGGGACTGGACGGGGACGCCAAGTGACTCTGTTCTCTGGTTCCTGGTGGGCTGAGCACTGTTTGTGTAATGATTTGGTGGGGGGGGGTAACTGCACCGGTGGGATTCCCGCGTGTGGCTCCATTTAAGGCTCTGGCAGGCCCCGGTGCTGCAACTGGTTGGGTTGGCACAACTAACGGAGGTTAAAATGAGGCCTCCTTGGCCTCTTTGCAGCTGCTGGGCGCCAAAGGTGCCACAAGAGGCTCTGCCTGCCCCTCCCCCCGCCCCTCCCCCCCGTTTCCTGAGGGGGGGCAGCCATTCCGAAGTGGCCTTGGGGGCCCAATGAAGGCCCCACCCGGAGCACCGGGGACTACAGCTCCCAGCGCAGCCCTAAAGCCGAGCGAGCGAGCGACTGCGGCGTTTCCCGGGTCCGCCCCGCGCTCGCCCTGCCTTAACGAGGGCAGGAAGGAAGCGTCGGAACAGCCGGTCCGCTCGCAGCCGGATCCGCTTGCAGGCTTTGGCGCGGCGCCACCCGGCCTGTGACCTCCTCGGGCCGGCTTCCCGCTAGAGCCGCCTCCGGGTGCCGCAGCCTCCCGCCTTCCCCGCGATGCGCCTGGACGGCTGGAGCCCTGCCCGGAGGCGCGGCGGGTCCGGATGCTGAGCCGCTCGCTGCGCTCCCTCCGGCTGCCGGGCGACGGCGAGGGCGAGGCGGCCGTCACGCTCCGAGCCGTCCGCAGCCGCAGCCCCGATGCCCAGGAGCGGCGCCAGCCGGACGCGCCGCCGGTGAGCAGCTCCAGGGTCTCCGTTGCCCCCCTCTTAAGGCGCGGGGCGAGCGGGGCCGGGCGAGGCGTGCTGGGCGTCCCCGGAGCTGCGGAGCGCCAGGGCGGCGGCGGCGGCCCGGGACCTGGAATGCAGCCCGGCCTGTTTGGGGAAGTGGCGCTGGGCGGGCGGGCGAGGCGGAAGGCGCAGCAGGTTGGCGGGGCCGGCGGCGGGTGGGGGCTCCCATGAAGGGGCTCCTCCGCCTGGGGGGCTGCCTGGAGCCGGGGGCCGCGCCCGAGGGGCCGCCGCTCACCCGCACGCGCTGGTACTGCCTGCCCGCCAAGGTAGCTGGAGGGGGGGCCGCGGGGGGAACCGGGGGGGGGCGGGGGTCTCCCGGGCGCCTGCAGACCCTCTTCCTCGCCCTCCCCTCCCGGCAGGCCCCGCTGGCGTCGTGGGAGGAGGCGGAGGAGGGCGCCGTCTACACGGTGAGCGCGCGGGGGCCGGAGGGGCCCGGCGGAGGCGGCGGCGGGGTAAGTGGGGCGGCGGGGCCGTCTGGGGGGGGGGCGGCGCGGGGCTGGGGCCGCCGCTTCCTTCCCGCTCTCCGCCTGCCTCCTTCTCCCCCTGCAGGTCGAGGGGGCGGCCGGCGCAGCGGAGCCGTCCGAGGGCAGCGCGGGAACTTCCTTTGCCGCCGCCGCCGCCTCCGCCGCGCAGTCCCGGGCGCTGAAGGCCGGCTCGCTGCCCCGCCTGGTGCGGCACCTGCTGGAGGCTCCGGCTCTCGGGGACGCGGGCTACCGGCCGGCCTTCCTGGCCACCTACCGCAGCTTCGCCCAGCCGACCGTCGTCCTGGGGCTCCTCCTGGAGAGGTGGGGGGCCTGGGGGGGTCGCGGGTGGGATTCCACAGGGATCCTCCTTAGAGAGCCAGGCTGGGCGGCCCTGCACCGCCCGTGAGCTCCCTCTGCCTCAGCCTGGCCCACCTCACAGGGCTGTTGTGAAGGGACCAGCTCTTCTGGGTGGGGGAGAGCCAGCCTTCGGTCTTTTGAAGCTGCTCTGTTCCCCCCCCCCCAAAAAATAGGCTCCAGGCAGTGACCGGATCCAATGCTCGCAGCCCCCAGAAGATGGAGGACCTGCAGCGGTGAGTCTCCTCCCTCTGGCCCTCATCCCTCCCCAATCCCTCCCCCCTTTGCTGGGAAAAGTGGGGCTTCTCCTTCCGCAGTGGCTGACCCTGCCATGCTCAGAGGCACCCTTGTTCTGGATTGGGCCCTTTTCATCCTTTGCAGCCCATCTGTGTCCCCCCCTCCCTTGTCCCTCCGCTGAGTTTTGCAGTGCAAAGGTGGGGAACCTGGGGGGGGAGACAGGCTGTTCCCCTGCACCCCCCTCCTTGCAGCTGCTCAGGCTAAGCAGGGCCCGGTGGACTGGTGTGGACCAAGGAAAGACCCAGACCAGCAGCTGTTTGTCTGAGGGCTCGGCAGAACCTCCCGCACCAGGAGCAGTTCATCTCAAAATATCAGGGCCCTGCTGGTTGGTCAGTGAGGGGGTTTTGTGCTGGGAGAGTTTGCACCATTGCGCCCGGTGGGGGTGGGGGTGGTCCAGCCCTGATTGTGTCTCTGTCTTCCCCCTCCCCGCAGAGCCCTGGCCTCCCTGCTCTGCCCCTGGCTGGACGGCTACCCCCAGGACTTTATGGGGCTGGAGCCCCGCCTGCGGGAACAGCTGGTGAGCTGGCTGCACTGGGCCTGGGGAAGCAGCCCGGGGCCCGAGAAGAGCCTGCCGGAAGTTCCGAGCAGGAGGGACTCTCCGGCGGTTGAGCGTGGAGGAGAGGAGGGCCCCGGCCAAGATGGGGACCCCGATCCCCACTACATCCTGGGGCTGCAGGCGGAAGAGGTGGCTGCGCACCTCACAGCGCAGGACGGGGTGAGTGCGGAGGGCCGGGCTGAGGCCTGCACCCTCCCTTTCCAGCTGTGGCATCTCTCCCTGCTCCCCTGGCCACAGAGTTGTGGGGAGGAAAAGGATTTTGGGGAGCCCCCTGCCAACGGGCAATGGCTTATAAGGGCTTTAGGGTGTCCAGGCCCCACACCTGGCTTGGAGGGCTCAGAGCCCCCTTTATTTTTCCTCTGTGGAATACCCAAAAGTTATTTTTTCCTGCAGTGCACCTAAATTTTTCTGCAGTGCGCCACCTGGAGGTTGTGCGCCTCCATTGCAGGCTCCTCAGAGGCCTCCTTTCGGCTGTTATACCTTTGTGGTTCTTTTCTTACCTGTGGCTCTCCCAAAGGTGCCCTTTTTTCAAGAGGCAACTGGACTTTCAGGTTTTTCTTTGAAGACGTTTCGCTTCTCATCCCGGAAGCTTCCTCAGCTCCAACTGGATGGTGGGGAAGGGAAGGATTTATATTCCTTGCAGACAGCTGGTCACTTGAGGCCCCTTGTAGGTTTGTCTGTGTCCTCAGGGTCACCTGAGTGGTGCAAATGGGTGTGGAGCCTTCTTGGAATGGTTGAAAGGATTTTGTTGTAGATTGGAGATAGGTGATGTCATATCCCTCCCCCTCTGCTGAGAGAGGGTTGCTCAATTTTGACGTAGACGGCCTCTTGGACCCCTCTTTCAAACCAGCAGTCCTCCCTGTCCAGATTGTGGACTTTGCTGTCTTCAGAAGAGGGGCCTGTGTCTTTTGAATGCAGATGGACTGCTGAATCTAGTCCTGATGGGTTTGTTTCTCCTATGTTGTGCCATTTGTTTGTGAAGTGGCTGTTTTGTTTCCCCAGTGATCTGCACATGGCTCACTGCATTGTACTGCATATTCCACGTGGCTCAGTTTCTGTCTTGGGTGTCTTATCTTTGGGGTGGACAAGCTCCTGCCTTAGTGTATTCTTGGGTTTCAAGTGTGCACATATGCTGTGTTGGCTGAAGATCCTCCTGAGCTGTTCTGATATGCCTGCAACATACGGAATGACAACGTTGCTTCGTTTATTGTTTTCTTTGTTATCTGTCGTGGAGGAGCTCCTGTAGGGTCTTTGTTGCCTCTTGAAAAAGCCCCTTTGGGACAACCATGACCTGGATGGCTGAGAACCTCCATAGACCAGGGGTGTCAAACTCAATTTCATTGAGGGCCACATCAGGGTTGTGTTTGACCTCGGGGAGGGGGGGACGGTGTGTGTGTGGCCAGGGGCGTGGTCAGGGTAGGCATGGCCAGCTTGACGTCGCTCATCAAGGCTTCATTTTTGGCTGCAACGGCCTCCTGGAGCCCTTTGCCAGTGGAAATGGAGTCAGGGAGGCCACGTCCCACCTGGGCTCTGTTTTCACTGGCAGAGGCCCATAGGCCAGTCCTTTACTGTTCCAGGGCAGCCCCACGGGCCAGATCTGAGCACCTTGTGGGCTAGATCCAGCCCATAAGCCTTGATTTTGGCACCCCTGCCCTGGTGTACCTACTGTGTGGTTGCATGGTGTCTGTTTTGAGGTGGGGAGAGACACGTCTGGTCTCCGGTGACCCCTCTCTGGCTGTTCCCCTCCAGGACCTCTTCCTGCGCCTGGTGCCCCATGAGTGCCTCGGCTCCGCTTGGTCTCAGCGCGACAAGAAGGGCCACGAGGGGGACTGCCCCACCGTCCGGGCCACCGTGGCCCAGTTTAACCTCGTGGCCAACGCCGTGATCTTTTCCTGTCTGTGGGACACGGGGCTGCGTGCCACCCAGCGGGCCCGGCTGCTGGAGAAGTGGATCTGCGTGGCCGAGGTAGGTCCTGATTCGGCCCTCCCAGGAACGGCCTCCCGGATCAGGACCCACAACACCCCCCTCTCTCTTCTCTCTCTTTTTCTGCCCCCTCTCAGGAGTGTCTCCTCCTGCGCAACTTTTCCTCGCTCTACGCTGTGGTCTCCGCCCTGCAGTCCACGTCTTTGCACCGGCTGAAGCGGACCTGGGAGGAGACCTCCAGGTGGGTGAGGAGGGGGCAGGAAGGAGCCGCCAGCTGCCCGTCCTCGTTCCCCTGCCCCATGCCGAATGCCTGATCTGTGGGGAGGCAGGAAAATGGGCCCTGCCCCCTCATAAGGCAATTGAAAGGGCCCCGGCCAAGATGGAGGTGTGGGGGAAAGAGGAGACATCTGTGGAAAAGGGAGTTTCTGCTTTTTCAATGCTGCTAGTTGGGTTTAATCTCTCCCCCTTAAAGTGATTTTAAAGAGTGCTAAAATACGGTTAGTCCTTTATTTACAACCGTTCACTTAGTGACTATGAACTTACAACAGCCCTCCAAAAAATGCTTTCCACACATAAAATTCAGGGACCCCCCCAACGGACAGGTATTTGCAACAGTTGCAACATCCAGGGAGGAGAGGAATGTCATGTGATCACCACTTGGGATCTTCCTAGCCAGCTTCCAGATGAGCAAAGCCAATGGGGAAGCTGGATTCGCTTTACGCCCGCATGGTTCATTTAACGGCAGTGATTCACTTAATGGTTGTAAAATGGAGCGTCATTCATTTAACCACTGCCTTGCTTAGCAATGGAAATGATGCGCTCAGTTGTGGTCATAAGTCAAGGAATACTTTTAATTGTAAATGGATTTTAGTCGGGAAGTTTTAAATTTTGGGCCAAAATTTGTTTAATTCTTTTAAAATATTAAATTTTGTATTGGGATGTTTTTTATTCTTGGCTGTGCACCGCCCTGAGTCCAGCAGGAGAAGGGCGGTATAAAAATTTAATAAAATAATAAATAAATAAATAAATAAATAAATACCTGTAAAGCAGAGCCAGTTTACAATATATGAGGAAATGTGCTTTGACTGATAATTCTGAAAAGGCTGGGGCACTTTTCCAGATGCGCCTAAATTTGCCCCAGAAACAGGGCTGGGAATTCTGGGAAGCAGGTGCCATCCCAGGAAGGGCCAGATCCTCTGCCTCCAAGAGCCGCAGTGGAGGATGGGCTCTGTGTCCCCGGGAGCCCCATTTTTCCACAAGGGGCCATTAGGCCCATAATGGCAACCAGGAGTGTTCCTGTAGGACCAGACTGATCCCCCTGATCTTGAGGGTCCGGGGTGGGGTGTCCCCCTTCTTCAAGGAAATCAGGCGCCTTCTCCGTTGGCAGGGAGTCTGCCCGTTGCTACGAGGAGCTCAGCACCATTTGCTCGGAGCAGGATAACTACAGCCAAAGCCGGCAGCTCCTCTTCCAGGTAAGGACCCATGGTGCTCTCCTCCCTGCTGCCCGGGCTGTGAGTTGGGGGTGTGACACCTGCAGGGAAGGGGCTGGAAATTTCCACTGAGATGCAGCCCCACCTCAGGAATTTCAGCAGGAGAAGGAATTGTGATGCGGGGGGGGGAATCTCTTTTAGCAGAAGAGAACATCTATATCTCAGTGTTGAACCATGATCGTTTGAACTTTGGTTGTTTGCTTGTGAGGTGTTTTGTTTTCCAACATCAGTGTGAGGGAGTGTGGAGTTTGCTCCCCATTTATATAGAATAGCTTGCCTTGCCAGTGTTGGTGGGAGTGCGATTTCCCCCTTGGTAGTTCCTTGGTATTGTTTTATGCTTGATGGTTTGTCTGGTATTAATCCCCGTTTATCTGACTGGTAGCAATAGAAGACAATCTCTGTGGCTCAGGAATGGACTGTGGAATCCTTGTGCTCTCTGAGTTTATTCGTTTGTTTTCAGACGTTTCATTACCAGAATAGATCACACCTTCAGTGCTAATGAGTGTGTGGTTTCCTCTCTGTTTTCATACAGCAGCTGCCAGTGTTGATGTGAGTGTGATTTTCTCCTCCGTAAATCCTTGATTAGGGCATTTTTTTCTGCTTGGTTGTTTGTCTGGGGTTAATCCCTGCTTATCTGGGTGTTGGCTGCTGACAAGGAGGTATTCTAGTCATTTTGTTCCCATCTTTCCTTGTCTTTTTGTTTCCAAGTAACTTGGTAACCGAATAACAACCCAACTTTTGTAAGAACAGAATTCAGATGAATACAAACGTATTACAGCAACCCAGAACACCAGAAAAAGGAAGCAGACCGCCATTTTCCAGCAAAAATATACCTGACTACTCCAGTAGGAGTAGATGACCTGCAAGATTCCTTCCAACTCTGTTAAACTCAACCCACGACAACACAACCAGCCTAAGGTGTGAAAAGGGCAATGTTTATGGATTAACAGAGTTGGAAGGGACCTTGTAGGTCATCTAGTCCAACCCCCCGCCCAAGCAGGAGACCCTGCACTATTTCTGTCAGATGGCAGTCCAGTCTCTTCTTAAAAGCCTCCAGGGATGAAGCCCCCACAACAGTGGTGGGTTTCAAAAATTTTTTACTACCGGTTCTGTGGGTGTGGCTTGGTGGGCGTGGCAGGGGAAGGATACTGTAAAATCCCCATTCCCTCCCGGTCAGCTGGGACTCGGGAGGCGGAGAATAGATGGGGGCGGGGCCAGTCAGAGATGGTATTTACCGGTTCTCCGAACTACTCAAAATTTCTGCTACCGGTTCTCTAGAACTGGTCAGAAACCCACTTCTGCCCCACAACCACTGAAGGCAACTTCTGTTCTCTCGGTTGATTGTTCTCCCTGTCAGAAAAATTCTCCTTATTTCCAGGTTGAATCTCTCCTTGATCAGTTTCCATCCATTGTTCCTTCGGGTGCCTTGGAGAATAGCTGGACCCCCTTCCTCCTCTCTGGGGCAGCCCCTCAAATATAGGAAGACTGCTCTCCTGTCTCCCCTGGTCCTTCTCTTCACTAGACCAGCCAGGCCCACTTCCTGCAACCGTTCCTTCATATGTTTTAGCCCCCAGTCCCCTCATCATCCTGGTTGCTCTTCTCTGCACTCTTTCTAGAGTCTCAAAGTCTTTTTTATAGTGTGGGGACCAAAAGTGGATGCAGTACTCTAGGTGTGGCCTTACTAAGGCTTTATAGAGTGGTATTAGTACCTCCCTTGATCTTAATTGTATCCCTCTGTTAATGCAATTTAGGATTGCGTTGGGTTTTTTGGCAGCTGCTGCTGCACACGGCTGGCTCATATTTAGCTGGTTGCCCACTAAGACTCCAAGATCCCTCTCCCACTTACTGATATTAAGCTGTTGCCATACGTTGAAAATATCTCAGAAACAACCAAAGGACGATTATCACCACACAGCATCACCATAACACACAAACCAACTATAAACCCCTCCAAAACATATTAAATGGTTCAAGAGACCCGGAAGCCCCAGGGGAAAACAGAAAACAGGAGTCATCTCCCATATACAGTGTAATGACTGCAACAGCCATTGTCAAAGATAAACAGGCAGATTAGCACCGGGGTTTCCAACCTTGGCAACTTCAAGACTTGTGGATTTCAAACTCCCAGGGATGATGACTGAGGAATTCTGGGACTTGAAGTCCACAAGTCTTAAAGATGCCAAGGTGAAAGACTCCTAGATGAGCAAATGAATCCATGAACACCAAATGGTGAAAATTCCGCATATGGACAGACTTGATCATAGTTTCCGCTATGCATCCTAGGCCAAGCTAAATGTAAAAATTCTAGGGAATTCCTGCAAGGTTGGCATTCAGACAAATGAATGCAAAGAGCCTTGGTAGTACAGTGGTCTAAAGCACCCTTAAGAACAACTGCCTGCAATTACTGCAGGTTCGAATCTCGCCAAGGCTCAAAGTTGACTCAGCCTTCCATCCTTTCAAAGGTAGGTGAAATGAGGACCCAGTTTGTGGGGGCAATAAGCTGACTTTGTATAAATATACACAAAAAGGATGAAGGCTATTGCTGAGCACATTGTAAGCCGCCCTGAGTCTCCGGAGAAGGGTGGCATATAAATCAAATTAAAAAAAAAAAATCAGTCATCAATAGCCACAAAGAGATGAAACACGTTAGCTCGCCATTCGAATGAGACAGCAAGAAAACTAAGAAGGAAAGAAAAAGTACCCAGAACAGATCCCCTCCAATAGCCAATGCCCAGATAAGCAGGGATTAACCCCAGACAAACAACCAAGCAGAAAACAATACCGTAACCAAGAAACTACAAACAGTCGCTTAGGTGAGATGGGCAGTATAGAAATTTGATAAATAAATAAATCTACTCCCGTTGCGAAAAACCCCACCTGGTAGAGCAAACAACTGTATGTAACATGTAAATGAAGACTGAATCAAAAAGGCAACTGTACATATTAAACAGAGATGTTTTGTTACTTATCCAAGTAACTTCTTCAGTCAAAATGGGGGGGAAAATTGGGTTTTTTCCGTTGAAAGAATTAACTCTGCCATATTGACTGCAGGGGTTTCTCCCCAAAATGAAATGCAATATGTAAATCGTTTTGGGATTTACAGAAACCCCTGCAGTCAGTATGGCAGAGTTAGTACAGGTACAGATTAACCTAGTTGGAAGGGACCTTGTAGGTCATCTAGTCCAACCCCCTGCCCAAGTAGACCCTGCACCATTGTAGTGCATTGTAGTACATTGCAACAACTCTCCATGCCTAACCCAAAAATTGTTCATTTTCACTGAAGAAGTTACTTGGATGGGTAACAATACGTCTCAGTTTAATACGTCCAGTTTACATGATTTTCACCTTGGCAGCGCCTCCCCCCCCCTCCCCCCAACCTTTGGGGCACCAGGGACCAGTTCTGTGGAGAGGTTTTTCCATGGACCGGGGTGGGGGGGTAGGGGGCAGGTTGGTTTCATGTGCTGCCTGCATCCCACGGATGGGACTTCACGTGTTTGCATGGCCTGGTTTCTGGCATGCTGCAGCCTGGTGCCCTTGCGCTGCTCAGGGGTTGGGGACCCCTCCTGTAGGTAACAGACAGCAAAGCCCACCCTCCTTCCTGCTGCTGGTGGGGCCTACTTGCGGCCACACTCAGCACACAAATTTGCAGTTTCGTGATGGGAAGAGAAGAGAGGCTGAGGCAGGTAGAGGAAACAGCTTTGGAGGCCCGTGTAGTTGTTCGTGTTTAGATAAACGGGGCTTTAAAATCTTCATTTCTCTGGTGCCCGTTTTCTGGAGGGACGGAAAACACGACTGCGGTATTCTCCCGGCTTGGAAGTATTGATTGAGAGTTTGCACCCCCTCCCAGCCCTCCCTGACATGGGTGCCTCCCACCGTCCTTGGGTTTTCAACTCCCGTCATCCCCGGTCGCATCCTAGCAGGGGGTGATGTGTCCCTCCAAGACCCTTGAAGGGGATTTGAGGCTTGGTTTGATGGGGGATGGAAGCTGGATGTTTGCTGTGCCCCTCCCGTTTCAGTGCTGCATTGTGGGGGCTCCTGTAGGCCTTGGGGGGCTATTGGAGGGGGGTGGTTCCTCCCCCTCCCAGCTCTTTCCGTTTTGCTCCCCCAGGAAGGTGGGCCTGGAGCAGCAGCAGGAGGGGCCGAGCTCCCCCATCGCAAGCATCAGCGGAGGCTGCTGGAACAACGCCCATTGGTGAGGGGGGGTCTGATCTCAAGGAGGGGGGGCTGGTCTCTGGGAGAGGACAGGGGGGCCATGGTCCTTAACCCCTGGTGTCCCTGCAGGGCGTGATCCCCTACCTGGGCACCTTCCTGAAGGACCTGGTGATGCTGGATGCGGCCACTCCCACCCGCCTGCAGGTGAGTGGGGGGGGGGAGCCAGAGGAGTTTTGCTGCTGCCCCTCCCCCAGCATGGGTGGTAGAGGGAGGGGTCTGCAGGCCAGGAGGGAAGGGGGACAGCAGCAAAGCTGACACATCTGTTGGGTGCCCAAAGAGTTGCCTGAGTTGTGTGCACAGATGGTTCCCAAGTTACAACCCTCTATTGATTGTTCGGAGGATGATTCGCTTAGCAACTGCAGTGATGCATTTAACAACTGTGGCCAAAAAGGGTGAAAAGAAGGGGACAAAAATCACTTAACAACTGCCTTGCTTAGCAACGGAAATTTGGGGCTCCGTTGTGGTTGTAAGTCAAGGACTCTGTGAGTGTGTGTGCAGTGTTGCGCCAGCCTCTTCCAAGGGGGCCTGTGGCAGCTTTCCCCCCTGCTTGGTGGGTGCTGTGGATTATGGGAACAGAGGGTGTCCATCTGGGGGAGCAAGATCCGGAGAGTCTCATCTTCAAAGAGTCTGGCCCTGCTTCGAATGGCTCTGCGGAGGTGGGAATTCAACCGGTGAAGCGTGTCACTTTGGCAAAAAGCGATTGGTGGAGTTTGCATTGGTGGGGGGGGGGGGCGTTTGCCAGCCGGACGCCTCAGGTGCTCCTCGAATTGGGCCGCCTTTCTTTTGAATTGTGCTGCCCAAAATGGAATTGTGTAGGCCGGGGTCTCCAGCCTTGGCCACTAAGACTTGTGAACTTCAACTCCCAGAGTTCCTCAGCAAGCTGGCTGAGGGATTCTGGGAGTTGAAGTCCACAAGTCTTAAAGTGGCCAAGGCTGGAGACCTCTGGGGTAGGCGACACAATTGCAGCTGACCAACTGAGCCGGATCCTGTGTGTGTGTGTGCGTGTGTGCGTGTGTGTGTGTGTGTGTTCGTCATGCAGGTGGTGGGACTCAACAGTTACCAGTGAAGCTCCCTTGAAGGGCAGCGTCCTGTGTGCCTCAAGGTCCTTCTCTGAAATGGGTGCAGTCTTGGGGGGGAGGGGGCTTGGGTGCAGCTGGGCCTGGGGGCTCACCGGGCATCTCTCGGCTCTCTTTGCAGACCAGTGGCTACATCAACTTTGAGAAGCACCGGAAGGTAAGTGCCGTGTGTGTGTGGGGGTGTGTGGAGTAAAGGACCCCCTTGGCCCCCTCCCACCTTGGCAGGACCCCCTGCTCCTCTCTCTTCTCCTCCTTCCCTGCAGGAGTTTGAGATCCTCACCCGGCTGCGCCTCCTGCAGGCCAAATGCCGCAACTACGCCTTGGCTCCCGACCGGGCCCTCCAGCGATGGCTGCGGTGCCTGCCCCCCCTGACGGAGACCCAGAGGTGGGTGCGGGGGCTCTGGAGGGGGGTGGGCTGGGCCTAGACCCCCAATCATCTCCCCATTTCCGATTCACCCCCCTCTCTCCCTCCCAGTTACCAGCTGTCCTGCGCCATTGAGGCCCCCAGCGAGGGAGGGGCTCCCCCCAAGCCCAGCAAGCCCACCTTGGTGATAACACGCTGCACAGAGTAAGGACCGGGAGAGGAGGTTCTCTGGGGTCTCTCCCCCCCCATTTCCCACTGACCCCCCTCTTTCCTCTCCAGCCTGATCGCCTTGCTGGGAGTAAGTGCCCCACTGCCCTGGGACAGAACTGGCTCCCCCCACGTCTCGCCCAACCTGCTGGGCCCATCGGCTGCCTCCCCCACTGCTCCGGGCCCCCCCCAACCAGTCCAGGTGAGTCAGCCCCATTTCCTCAGGACTCTTCTGGGGGGGGAGGCTGACCCCCGAAGTGAAAAGACCTGAGTCAAGCATTGCTGAGCCAACGGTCTCGCCCAAGTTTCTAGTCCTCAGTATTATTTAAAAGCCAAGCCACAGAGAGGGCGGGGTTCTTCCTCTCATGGGGTCTTGTTTGGGGGCCCCAAACTTGTTCTCCGAGATCTGACGGACTTCAAAGGGCCCCTTCCCCATGCTTCATGCCCCCCTGCATGGAAGGGACTTTGCAATGTGAGTCCATCATCCTAGACAAAAAAGGGGCCCTCCTGTCACCCCTTTGGGGCCTCTTCTCTCCTTCCAAGGGGGACCCATATTTAAGGAAGCCTTCAGTGCTCCTTAGGGGGAGGCAGTGAAGGTTGGAACAGTCTTTCCTCTTCACAGAATAAGGGGAGGAGGAGAAAGAGAAGGAGAGGAAAAGGAGAAGAAGGAAATGTGGAGGGGGAAGAAGAGGAAGGAAGAGAAAGAGAAGAGGTGGAGTAGGAAACAGAAGGGAGAAGGAGAAGGAGAAAGAGGAGGAGCAGGAGGACAAAGAAGGCAGGATGAGGAAGGGAAGAGGAGGAAGAGGAAGGAGAAGAGAAGAGGTGGAGGAGGAAGAGACAACGAGGACAAAGAAGGAAGGATGGGGAACGGAAGAAGCAGGGAAGAGGAAGATGGAGGAAGAGGAGGAAGTGGAGGAGGAAATAGAGGAGAGGGAAGAGACAGGAGGAGGACAAACGAAGGATGACGAAGGAAAGAGGAGGAGGATGGGGGGGAAGAGAAGAGGAAGAAGGAGAAAGGAAGCAGAAGGAAGGAAGAGGGGGATGAAAAAAGAGGAAGGAGGTCTCTAACACGGATGGACCAGTGAACATACATGTAACCCAGGTGGATGGGGCCCTCCTGGGTCCTCAGCGCCAGTTTTCTGCCAGGGACCCTTTTTTAAGCAGGAGGGCCACAGGACAGCTTCCCTGGTGACTCTCCATGGCTGGGACCCTGCGGGGCCCTTTCCCTGAATCCAGTGCCGATCCCCGCTGCCTAACTTCCCTTCCCCTCCTCTGCAGGGCAAGTGGCCTTCCGTCTCAGCCTTGGACATGTCACCCCCATCCTCCCCCGGGGACGGCCTGGCCCCGCTCCCTGACACAGGGGGCGGCTTCATCAAGGGCCACCGGCGCTCGGCCTCCTGCGGCTCCGTCTACCCCCAGGCCCCCAACAAGGGCGGCGCCTCCCCCTCAGACTGCTGCATCATCCGGGTCAGCATGGCCCTGCAGAATGGCACCCTCTACAAGAGCATCCTGGTGAGTGGGGCGGGGGGGAATTTGGTGGTTTTCACATGACCGTTGTAGCATCTCCATGGTCACCTGATCAAAATTCAGACGCTTGACAACGGACTCATCTTTATGTCCCTGGTTCATGGGATCCCCTTTTGCAACCTCCTGACAACTCCGTGTTACTAACTGAAAGACTGCAGTGATTCACTTAAGGACTGTGGCAAGAAAGGTCGTAATAATGGGGCAAAATTCATTTGTCTCGCTTAGCAACAGAAATTTTGGCCTCGGTTATGGCCGTAAGTCGAATTTATTTAGTTTATTAAATTTATATGCCGCCCATCTCCTTGATAGGGTGGGCAGTTTACAGATTATAAAAAGATAAATAAAAAGCAATTAAAATTTTTTAAAACTAAGCAAACCACCATGGTTATAGTTTAGCTCTCCAGATTTCAATCAATCGTGGCTGAGTTCCAGTTTTCAGCAAGTGGTGCTGAGGTTTTCCTCTGACCAACCGGACCGCCATTCCACTTAGAGGTCCCTAGAAGGGCTGCAAATGCTGAACAGGCCAGACCAAGCATGGGACGGATGCTGATCTCGCTCAGCAAGCGCTGAATGGCATTTCTGTCTGGGGGGGAGGCACCTGTGGGGCTGGCTGGCCGACCCCCTTTCTCCATGTTCCTCCCCAGGTAACAAGCCAGGATAAGGCCCCCACTGTGGTGGCAAAGGTGCTGGAGAAACACAACCAGGACCAGAATCTGGCACATGACTACGAGCTGGTGCAGTTGTTGCCGGATGGCCGAGGTGAGGGGAATGGGGGCTGTTGGTGGGGCTGGCCAGGCTGCCCCACAAAGGGGGCCAGGGGGAGTGAGTGTTGTGGCCAGTACAGAACTTTTTTTGGAAGTCAACCTGGGAGGGTGGGGTCCCTGCAAATCTGATTCCGGAAAGTGACATCTCTGCACACCTGAGGACCCCCAAGGTCCTGTGTTCAAATTCAGATTTGAGAGTGGCAGCCTTGATGAGGCCTGGCCTAGATGATGTGTGCTGGAAGGGGGTTGCTGGGGGGGGTGTTGGGGAGGAGGGAGGGGCTTTCCTCTTGGGGCTGCCCCCTTGATCCCCCCCTCTCTCCCACAGAGCTGGTCTTCCCCCCCATGGCAAACGTCTTCTGCACCAGGAACGGCTTCAGCCTGGACTTCCTCCTCCAGCCCAAGGGGCCACCGAGGAAGACCCCCCCTCCGACCCCCCCACCCAGGAGCCCCCGAGCCAGGGAGACGGACATCAGCGCCACCTTCCCGAAGATCAAGGCCACCGGCCGCAGGATCGCCCGGGCCCTTTTCTGAGGGGGAGGAGCTCTGGAGTGGGGGGGCCACATATGGCTCTGTTGGGGACCCCCAGGACAAGACTGGGACCTCACTCAGGACACGAAGTGGGGGGCCCCTCAGCAGCCCCCCAGGCTGTGCAAGAGTTCTGGAGTCTCTGCTGCCCAGAGGACCGAAAGGCAGGGAGGACTGTGGGGCGGCCGTGGGGCTGAGTGGGGCGTCCTGGAAAAGGCCTCTCAGGGGGTCTCAGGTGACTGAAGGGCCTTCATTGCTGCTTCTCCAAGGAGAGTCTCTCCTCTGTGTGTGTGTGTGTGTGTGTGTGTGTGTGTGAAGACCTGCGTGCCTGTTCAGCAGAGCCTTTGCTGAGATACAAATATGGGGAGGGGGGCTGAGTTTTCCCCCCTCATCCCCCTCGTTGGCTTCTCTGCCCTCCCAGCGTCTCTCAAGGGACCCGTTCTCTGCTCCTCCTTCCCAGAGTGAAGGCTGGGATCTCCCTGGATCTGGTGGCCTTGGCTAAGGGCAAGAGGGGTTGCAGCTGGAGGGTCGCAGCCGTGGCTGTGAGTGGTGGTGGGGTCTCTGCTGGTTGGGAGGTCCGGGGCGACAGGCAAGCCTGGGCCAGACTAGATGGCCTCTACTACCTCCTCCCTCCGAAGAAAGAGAGGAGGCCGGGGAGCCTCAGCAGGAGAAGCTCCATCCGTCATTCTTCTCACCCACCTGCCAGGTGGAGCCTCCGTCTTTCAAAGGTTGCAGGAAAAGCCAGAAATTCATCAGCTACAGAAAAACCAAAATCCTTTTGCATCCCATAACTGGATTAACTCCTGAGTGCTCTGGGAGGAAAAAAGATGAGGAAGAAAATTAGAATATGAAATAAAATCTTTGGTGTAAATGTTTCTGGAGAATCTATGGGGGAAAACGGACCCCTTCCCTTTCAGTTTCCCCTCCCCCCCATGAAGGCCTACACTGCAGGGGGGTGGTTGATGGGCAGGGACCGGAGGGAGGGAGGCTCCGCCCCTTTCAGGGAGGAGAAGGCTGGGAGGGGCCAGATGACGCCTCCCCATCTCCTTCCCTGGGACTTCCAAGGGGGGGGCCTGAGTTCAGCCGTGGGGCTGCAAAGGGGGCTCCTCCCTCCCTGGAGAGGATCCGTATTGAGCAGGAGGAAGATGGGGTGGCCATGGGGGAGGCAGCAAAGGGGGGAGCCAGAAATGTCAGAAGGAAAAGTGGGGGGGGACAGGAAGGGCAATTTAGAGCCCTGCAGTGCTCCCTCCCCCTCCCCCAATGACAGGAATCCTCCCCCCCTTCCCTCCTGCAGCATCCCAGAACCTGGAAGAAGTTTTAGTGTTGTGTATTGGTGTTTGAGGGCACCTCATTCTGGAGTTTTGCATAAGGAAAATTTGAAATTTCAACACTTTCATTTGTCTAGAGCACGAAGGTCGTGCAGGGCAAATTCGAGGGCGGTTTGATTTGTTTAGAAAGAATTTTTTTTTTTAAAGAAGAATTAAAGGATTTTTAAAAACGGGGGGTGGGGGAGGGGATCAGGTGAGGGAGGAAGAGGAGAAACTCACCTGCAGGAGGTCGGATGGGAGTTGCTGGAAGGAGAAAAAAGAGCCAATCAGGAGCCTTCATTGGGCTGGGGGAGTCAGGGGAGCCCCCTCCCCATCAAGAGATCCCATGAGGTTTCCTGATGGGAGGAAGCTCTCCAAATAGATTTCCCCCCACTGCTTCCTACCTACCCAGACAGGCTGGATCCCTCCGTCATGTGAAGAAGGGATCATCCAGATCACACCCAGCCCTTCAAGATCAGACTTTGCCCTGCAGGTGTTAGAGAGCCGGCTCCCCTCCAGAGGTTGTGGCTGCTCCATCCCTGGAGGCTTTGAGGGAGAAACTGGGCGGCCCTTTGACCAGAGGGGCATAAGCTCTCCTGCTTGAACAGGGGGTCGGACTGGATGACCTCCAGGGTCCCTCCCAACTCTGTTATTCTGGATCCCGTGTGTTGCATTTCCAGGTGTCAGAAAAATCCCCAAATCCATTTCTCCACCCTGACCTCGACCTACCTAGGCAGGGTGGATCTCCCAGGGGTCAGACTTCCTGGCCCAACAAGACCTTCTGTGCCACCTTGATGAGAGGCCTCCACCAGAGGACCCCCTTCCTCTCCAGCCCCACAGGCTCCCCTTTCCTGCCCTTCAGGGTGAGGATCAGGCATTGACCAAATCCCCCTCAGTCAATTGCGGAAGGCAGCTCTGCTTGCAACTGCTGAAATCCCGCGAGGAGGAGACCTTTCACTCCATCAGACTCCCACCTCCGCCTCTCCCGGGTCCTCGGAAGGGCTCGATGGGCGGACACAAAGGCCAAATCCAGGCTGAAGAGCTGAACATCCCCCGGCCCCTCCGAGAACCATCTCCTCCAAAGGACCCCTCGGAGGCTCCTCTGCCTGGAGACGGATGACGCTCCCAAAGCTCCATTTTTCATTGGGTGGGACGGACGTTCGACTTTCTGGAAGTCAGAAAGAGAATTCCGCAGCGCTGCCGCTCCCTCCCCTCGCTTTTCCCCTTCCCTCCCCCTCTCTCACTTCGCTTCCCACTCCCTCTTCCCACTCGCTCCCTCCCCACTCCCTCCCACCCCCCATTTTCCATTCTTCTCTGTATGAGCAGCTTTTCCTCCCTCCGGACGAAAGACTGGGGGTCGGGCTTCCCTAACCCTAACCCTGCACCTGAGACCGGCAGGAAAGGGGGGATTGGCCTTAGGGGGGCCGGGGAAAGGGGCTTGAATACCCCCAATTTCCTCCCTTGGGCCCTGAACCTCAGGCAGCAGGCAACAAGCCTCAATTCTCCCTCAGGGCAGCTCAGGGACTCTCCTCCTCCTCTGCCCCATGGCTGAGTCTGCAGGTGGGACAACCCCTTGGTCCTCTGCCCCATTGGAAGCGGCTGAAGGGGCCCTTCCCCAAAACCTCATTATAGTTCTCTAGTCCTTTCTCCCTCAGTTAAAGCCCATTGAAGAAAGGAGTCCTTGACTTATAACGGTTCATTTAGTGACCATTTGAAGTTACAATGGCACTGAAAAAAGTGACTCTGCCTAATATTCCTTCTTTTTAAAATATTTTTTTATTTTTGAAGAGACAGTAGAAGCGTATTCTTTCACATCAGTGTCTTGTCCATTCATTGCAGCCTCTTTAAATACGTTCCAATTTCTGCCCTTGAAGGAATCTCCTTGTAGAGCCTCCACGGCTTCTGCCGGCCACAGTCTCCCTAGTTCTCTCCTGGGTCCTCTCTGATGAACCTTAAAGGCTTCTCTGCTGACCGGAGCCTCCCAGAGAGAGAATCGGAGGGGCCAGGAGGGGGAGGGGGAGGGGCAGCTTTAAAGGCTCCCTGGGGGTTGGAGGAGGCCCCGTCCAGGGTCTCCCCTCCCCTGGTGGCAAAGGCCCCGTATGGGGGGAAAGGAGGGGGGGCTGCTTTCAAGGCGGCCTCTGGTCTGCTGGGTTTCCCAGGAGCCTCTTTCCTCTTCCACCAGGCGCAGAACCTGCCTCCCAGTGAGGCCAGGGGAGTCCAAGCCCCCCATGACTCTTGGGGGGAGCTTCCTCCGGGCCTCGGCTAATTAACACAAAGTTCATCCGTTTCCTCTGGTTGGTTGGGAGGCTCCGAATATTCCCCCATCCCTCTTTTCCCCCTTTTATCTCAACCCAAATGCATACCTCCTCTTTTATTAGGTCTGTTTCTTTCAAACACTTTAGATGTGAAGATATTAAATGGAATAGCTGGAAGAGGAAAGTGCACAATGGTGCAGAACAGTCGAGGGAGGGAGGGCTCCTGTATGAGGAGATCTGCACTCTGATTGGTTGCTCCAGTTGGAAAGGGGGAGTTTCCCTTTTTTCCCGCCTTTTTCTTCTGTGCGCTGTTTGAGATTTACCTCAGGATGTTCCTGACTGTTTTCTCTGCCGTGAATCTTAAATACATTTATATGGATACGAAATAACAAGTTTGTGTCCGTGTCTCCCACTTCCTTTGGACAGCAGCTGCACGATTCCTCCACACTAAACCTCTTCAGTTGCACCTTCCAATTTTGGGTTTCTTCCCACGAAGTTTCAGTGATTGCAGCAATGTCACACCTGCCTTTGGGCTCCACCTTCACCCCATTTCTTCCTCGTACTTTGAGAATTATAGGCATCTGAGTCCCTCTTTGACTGACCCCAAATTTGGTTTCTACATCTCCTGTTTTGTCTCCGAGTTTCCCTTCCTTCTTTCAATTTGGCTGATTCCTGCGAGATTTGAGTTTGGAATTTGCTTCTAAAACTCCATCTCCCTCCCACTTCGGTCTCACTTTCAAGCCCTTCGGATGAGGCGAGCCGGTTGGTGTCCAAAGCCAACCTTCTCGGTTCTTGTGAGGGGCAGCTCATCCCCTGCCAGAAGTCCCCCATGTGGGTGTTGTGGACCATGGTCCAAGATTCCCAATTTCCCTCGAGAGAACCATCCCCTAAGCCAGGGTTGACTTCCCTCCTTGGATGGTTCCCTTTATTGGGAGAGTGGAAGAGAAATCCCCCTGTGCCCCCAACTCTTTGGCTCCGTTGCCCACCTGCTCCGAGTCTCTTGGCATCGTTTCCAGGGACATTTTCATTCCTCCCAGCATGAAAGAGGAAAAAGGGATCAAAGAATCTGTGAGATGAGGGGGATGGAGTGACAGGTCAGCCCAGTATCCCTGGGGACAGTCTAGGTCAGTGGTTCTCAACCTTCCTAATGCCGCGACCCTTTAATACAGTTCCTCATGTTGTGGTGACCCCCAACCAGGGGTGGGTTTTAAAATTTTTAACAACAGGTTCTGTGGGCGTGGCTTATTTTGTGGGCGTGGCTTGGAGGTCATGTGACTGGGTAGACGCGGCTATCTGGTCATGTGACCGGGTGGCCATGGCTATGTGCATAGGGACTACTCAGAGGGCTGAAAAAAGTCATTTCTGACAGATCCTCGCACTTTTGACTGGTCCTCACACTTATGACCATCCTCACATTTATGCCCGTGCAGCATTCTTTTTTTTTTTTTCAAAATATTTTTTTTTCCCAACATAACACTTAAAACACATCTCTTTCGAGAGCGAAGTCTCGATCCGGTCATGAATAGGTACAATTGCTTACATTTTTAAAAGGCTCCATTCACAATTTCCCATTATATCTTTTAAAATTCAAAATCAAAATATAGAAAATTTTTTAGTCAAAGCTCTACAGTAAAAGTTCGAAACCTATAAGAACAAGTTTTAATATAAATTCTAACATCATCATCTAAACAAATCTATTATATCAATACAATTTTAATTTCAAATTAATTCACTCATTTTTATTTCTATTAATCAATCTTAATCATATCTTGTTCTTCTTCACCTTATATCTTTTTCCATCAGTATCAAAAAAGAATTTTTTTAACAATATTCTAACCTCTTGTTCTAATTATTTACCTTACAATTTTATCACCACAAATCTTGATTTCAAATTCTATGCCCCTCCATTCTTATTACACTTTATAAAACAAAGTTCTATCTAGTTCTTAGTCTCTTGACCCTTTCCTTAATTCTTAATATCTTAAACTTTATCAATTTATCTTTGATTTTATCTTCCTTGTCATCTATTACTCTTTTAATGTTACACAGATTTATCACAAAAATATGTGTGGTTTAATCTAATTTCCAGTATATTTTCTTCCATACCTCCCTCTGTTATTTGGCTATTATTCAACATATTCTGTTTGGTTAGTTCCCAACATATTTTTCTCCAGAACACCAACTATTTTTGGCTAATTTCAATATAATCTCCTCCGAGCCTATCATCATTATTGGCTGCTTTCCAGCATATTATATTTGGCTGATTTCCAGCATAGTTTCCTCCTATACTCCCTCCATTGTTTGGCTGATTTCCAGCATATTCTCCTCCAACTCTACTCCTGTTTGGCTGATTTCCAGCATTTTATTGGCTGATTTCCAGCATATTATATTTGGCTGATTTCCAGCATAGTCTCCTCCAGGACTCCCACTCTTATTTTGCTGATTTCCAGCATAGTCTTGCTCGAACTCTTCTATAATTATTTGGCTGATTTCCAGCATTTTAACTAGTTCCAACATATTTCCTCCGAGTCTCAAACTCTTATCTAGTTGGTATCCATCCCTCTTATTTTAACTTCCCCTTAACATATAATTATCTATTTTATGTCAGCTTCCAGTACAATCTTTCAAATTAATTCTCAATATATTTCATAATAATCATCATTTCCAGTATATATTAAATTAAATCACAATTTATCGCTAATATCTGTGTGTTTGATAGTTTGTTCAATAAAGCCTTAGTCCAGCATACTCATCAAATTAACATTTGTTTACCAATTAAAATTAAAGCATATTACATCAAACAGTAATTTTTCCTTAAAATTGTCTCACAATAATATATACTCTTCTTTATTGTTTTTAACCACCTGTATATTATCCTCTATTTTAATTGCCATCTCTTATTTTCTATTTTTATTACTCAAAAATCTTTTCTGTTTTTATCCAAAAATCATATATACTTTTAGGCTTTTAATCTTTACATTTCAGTTCAGTTACATTTAAAATTTATTACTTTATTTCCTCCTTTTCTTTCTTTTTCTATCTGTCCATAATTGTTCCATTTCAATGTTCATCCATTCAAATTAAAAAATTCTGTATGTCCCTTTAATGCTTTTATAATGTCTGTTTTGTGTGTAGTGCATCAACTTCCTATCTTTTTTCCCTGCGCCACACCTAATTTTTTTTTTCCAAGGCTTGTTAATTTTCATTGTCTAATGTCCAAAATATTCCTTCTTTCTTCTTAAAATCATCTGGGACAGAATAGAAACCTCCAAAGTCCATAAATCCAATGTAAATTTCAAGGCAATCCAAAGTAAAAAGCCATTTAAAATGTTTCTTTTTCAAACGGAAAGAAAAGTATCTTCAATCCACTTTCCTGCTTAGTCACTGCAGACTCCATGGCAATTTTGTAGCCATCCGTCTGTCTATCTTCATTAGCTTCATTAACTTTCAAAGGTGTAAATTCCCAAAGAGACATTTCTCCCAACCGTTCCAAATAAAAGCAAAGTCAATTTACTGGATTGTTAACAGTCAATTCTTCTAAGCCAAATTTAACAAAACAAAGACTATTTTGGGTCCTCATTCCATTTTTTTTCTTTTCTTTTAAATCTTCAAGCCCCATGGCTCTGTAGCCGCTATTTGAAGTTTGAGGTCTTATTTTTTAAAGTCCAAATATGTGTGTTGTTTTGCCTGAGTTGGTGTCACTCACCCGGTTTCGAGACGTTCGCTCCCTATTCTTCTCCACTACTCCTCCTCTCCTCCAGCACGATCCTTGTTCCCGGCTGTCGCAGTATCAGGACAGCCGCCATGGCTGTCGTTCCACTGCCGCCAACGTGAAGGAAAAGCCTCCGGCCCCGAGGAACCTGCCCGTTCCTCTCGGCCACCCAAGGGGTCCCTTCTTGTCCCCCTGTCCCTTCAAGACAGGGGAGGTCCGCAGACCTGTCAGTGGCAGTTTAACAGATGGGATTTTGGCAAAGCTCTACGGAGCTGGCCATTTCCCGTCTGTGTCCCTGCAGCACCAACCGGAAGTCGCAGCATTCTTAACAACCATGTCACACATTTCACAACTGCTTCTCTTCACCATGGTGATAAGATAGGGCAAAAAACGTAAAATGTGAGGATAGTCGTAAATTCGAGATCTGGTCAAAAGTGCGAGGACCAGTAAAAAATAACATTTTCAGCCCTCTGAGTAGTCCATGGACACAAAAGGACTACCCAGAGGGCTGAAAAAAGTGATTTCTGACAGGTCCTCGCACTTTTGATCGGTCTTCGCACTTATGACTGGTCATCATTTATGCCCATTGTAGCATTCTTAACAACCGTGTCACTCATTTCACAACTGCTTCTCTTCACCATAGTGACAAGATAGGGCAAAAACGTAAAATGTGAGGACAGTCGTAAGTTCGAGGACTGGTCAAAAGTGCGAGGACCAGTCAGAAATAACTTTTTCAGCCCTCTGAGTAGTCCATGTGCATAAAAGGATACAGTAATTGAGAGGGATGAAGGAAGGGAAGGGAAATTAGAGTAGGAGTGAGGGTAAAAGAGGGAGGAAGAGAGGAGGAGGAGGAGAAAGGAAGAGGAAGTAGGGAGGAGAAGAAGAGGGGGGGGAAGAGAAAGTAAGAATGAAAGAAAAGAGAGAGGTGGTAGGTTTGAGGAGAAAGATTGCTGTACAATAAAAAAAGATGAAATGGAAGAAAGGCAACCCCAAACAAATATAAAAATATTAAGATAAAGAATGAATTGTTAAACTTTCAAGAATAAAAGAGAACAAATATGAATAAATAGCAATAATTAGAAACACACATACAAACATACAATGTATTTTCTTTGAACAGAGTATTTGGCTGGTTCACAAATTTAAACAGTGTTTAGTCATTTCAATTAAATTTACAATTTCTATATTTCCTTTTTGCCATATTTATTCCTCATCTATTTAAAAAAAAAAACAATATTACCCTTCATCCTCATCTCTAATTTGAATAAAATTCAATTTTTCCCTTCTATTCTATATTGTATCCCTTCCCATTGTCATCTATTTTTATATCCATCCTCACATTGGTTAATTATGTAATTATGTAATACAGTTGTTTAATACAAATTCAACATTTTAATATAAATCAATTAGTTATATAACTAATATATATATATCTTTTTTGTATATTAATCAATATGAATAAGAATAATAATTTTTATTTATTTTTATTTTATTTTGAATTTAAGAAATAATTTTATTTCTATACCGCCCTTCTCCCGAAGGACTCAGGGCAGTGTATAACCTATTAAAAGCACAAGACAAACATCATTTAAAATAATTTAAAATTATTAAATAATTCGGCTCAATTTAAAACCCCAGAAATTTAAAACACCCAATTTAAAATTATTATGTTGATAGCCCGGCCTGGCGGAACAACAGGGTCTTGAATGCACAGCGAAATACCCAGAGGTCGGAGATCTTACGCACTTCCGGGGGCAGTTCATTCCACAGGGCTGGGGCACCCACACAGAAGGCCCTCCCCCTGGGTGTCGCCAGCCGACATAACTTGGCCGATGGCACCCTGAGGAAACCTTCTCTGTGGGAGCGAACTGGCCAGTGGGAGGCTATCAGTGGCAGAAAGCGGTCTCGAAGGTACCCGGGTCCTATGCCATGGAGCGCTTTAAAGGTGGTGACCAACACCTTGAATCGCACCCGGAAGACCACTGGGAGCCAGTGCAGCTCACGCAGGAAGGGAGTCACATGGGCACAACGAGTTCCGCCCATATCCACCCGCGCGGCCGCATTCTGGACCAGTTGGAGCCTCCGAATGCTCTTCAAGGGGAGCCCCATGTAGTCCAGCCGGGAGGTGACAAGGGCGTGAGTGACCGTGCGCAAGGCGTCCTGGTCCAGAAAGGGCTGCAAATGGCAAATCAGGCGAACCTGATAAAAGGCCCCCCAGGCCACGGCCGTCATATGCTCTTCTAAAGACAGCCATGCATCCAGGAGGACGCCCAGATTGCGAGCCCTCTCTGTGGGGGTAGAGATTCACCCCCTGTAGACAGCGATGGCGTCAGCTGACTATACCGGGACGTGGGTAGCCACAGCCACTCGGTCTTGGAAGGGTTGAGTCTGAGCCTGTTCCTCCCCATCCAGATCCACACGGCCTCCAGGCAGTGGGACATCACATCAAGGGCATCGTTGGGGTGGTCTGGGGTGGAGATGTACAGCTGAGTATCATCAGCGTATGGATGACACTTCACCCCACAACCACGGATGATCTCAACCAGTGGCTTCACATAAATGTTGAACAGAAGGGGCGAGAGGACCGACCATTGCGGCACTCCCCATGCGAGGCACCTCTGCCCCCCTGCCAACACAAACTGCGAGCGGTCAGAGAGGAAGGAGGAGAACGGTGCCCCCTATTCCTAACCCCCTCAACCGCTGCAGCATGATACCATGGTCAATGGTATCAAAAGCCGCTGAGAGATCTAATAGGACTAGGACAGAGGAGCAACCCCTGTCCCGAGCCCTCCAGAGATCATCCACCAATGCGACCAATGCCGTTTCTGTGCTGTACCCCTGCCTGAAGCCCGACTGGTACGGGTCCAGATAGATAGCTTCATCCAGGTTCCGGGGAAGCTGTCATGCCACCACGCTCTCAACAACCTTCGCCACAAAACAAAGGTTGGAGACAGGATGGTAGTTGGCTAATTCAGCCGGGTCCAGGGTGGGCTTCTTGAGGAGGGGCCTCACTACCGCCTCTTTCAAGGCAGCAAGAAAGGCACCCTCACTCAGAGACGCACTTATAATTCCCTGGAGCCAGCCTCGTGTAACCTCCCGGGAGGCCAGTACCAACCAGGAGGGACACGGGTCCAATAAACACGTGGCGGCACTAGTCCTACCCAGAAACCTGTCCACATCCTCGGGAGCCACAGGATCAAATTCCTCCCAGATAACATTCTCAAGACCTACCCTCATCTCCTCCCCTGGACTCATCCAATCGGAGTCCAAGCCATCCCGAATCCGAGCGACTTTATCATGCAGGAATTGCACAAAATCCTCAGCACGACCCTGCAAGGGATCTTCCCACACTCCCCCCCGAAGAAGGGAGTGGGTCACCCTGAACAGGGTGGCTGGGCGGTTCTCTGCAGATGCGATAAGAGCAGAAAAATGGTTAGATTTTGCCGCTTTTATCGCCACTAGGTAGGTCTTTTTTTTTTAAAAAAAAAAATTTGATTTATATGCCGCCCTTCTCCGGAGACTCAGGGAGGCTTACAGTGCTTTAAGCAATAGCCTTCATACTTTTGTATATTTATACAAAGTCAGCTTATTGCCCCCACAAACTGGGTCCTCATTTCACCTACCTTAGAAAGGATGGAAGGCTGAGTCAACCTTGAGCCTTGGAGAGATTCGAACCAGCAGTAAATTGCAGGCAGCTGTGTTAATAACAGGGTGCTTTAAACCACTGTAGTACCAAGGCTCTTGATATAAGACCTCACCTGTGCCCAATCAGAATCAGATTGACTAGTCCTCCAAATGCTCTCTAGGCGTCTTTTCCGACGCTTCATCTCTCTCAGCTCCTCAGAGAACCAAGGAGCCAATTGAGATCAGCATCGGGTCAGAGGCCGCAACGGCATGACGCGGTCCAAAGCTCCGGCGGCCGCACCCTCCCAGGTGGCCACCAGCTCTTCAGTCGAGTCATGTGCCAGAGTCTCAGGAAACAGCCCAAGCTCCGTCAGGAACCTTTCGGGGTCCATCAGGTGCCTGGGATGGAACCATCTGGTCGGTTCCATCTCCCTGCGGCGGGGGAAAGCGGTAGGAAAGTCCAGGTGGAGGAGCAAACGATCTGTCCATGACAAGGGTTTGATATCTAGGTCCCCTCTACCAAGATCATTCAACCACTGACCAGAGACAAAAATCAAGTCCAGAGTGTGTCCCCCTATGTGAGTGGGGCCTTGAAATAACTGGGCCAGGTCCATAGCCGTCATGGAAGCCATGAACTCCCGAGCCGCCTCAGACGCCTCACCTGCAGATGGAAGGTTGAAATCCCCCATGACTATAAGTCTGGGGATATCAACCGCCACCCTGGCAATGACGTTGAGTAGCTCGGGCAGGGTCGCTGCCACGTGGCAGGGAGCCAGGTACGTAGTCAGCAAACCCATCTGCACCCCACGGCCCCACTTCACAAAGAGGGACTTGCATCCAGCTATCTGAGGAACAGTGGTCTCCCTCGGACAAAGACTTTCCCTAATAATCGCTGCCACTCCTCCACCCCTCCCCTGGGCCCTTGGCTGATGAATTGCAAGGAAACCTGGTGGACACATCTTGATGAGGGGGACCCCCCCCCCTTGGCCCAACCAGGTTTCTGTAATACCTGCCAGGTCCGCACCCCCCTCCAAAATAAGATCACAAATGAGGGGGCTTTATTAACAACCGCCCTGGCATTACATAACATCAGCCGCGGACCCAGGGCCTGAGGCTCTGTGCAACCCCGGACACGAGTCGCACATTGGGGGCCGGAGTGTGCAATATGAACATGAATATTCCAATTATTTCCATGCAATCCAATTTCTTACAAATCAATTAATTATATTTACCAATAATAATAAACCAAATAATTTCCCCCATATATTCCTCCAAACCACAACTTAACCATTTCTGCCTTCAACACAATATACAATTAATAGTATCTCAATTATTATAATTCCCTAGTTAAATAGAGCTTTTTTTCTTTTGTGTTTTAAAATCTTGAACCTCCTCTTTTGCCCTAAATTTCCCATTGTTTGCAGTTTTGCACCTACCTTTTTTGGTGAGGAAAAAAAAGAAAAAGAAATCTCTCTCTGCCTCATTTTGTTACATTGCAGCAAAGACCCTGCTTTACTTTCAGTTTCACTTTTTCAGCATAGCTAGGGGGAAAAAAATCTGCTCCAGGAATTTACCTCTTTGCAGCCAGCTAGCAACAGAGCCCGCTGCAAAACAGCTGAGAGCAAATCAGCTGAGAGTCGGGACGCTGATCAAATCAATTTATGGTAATTAACCTATGCTTAAGCTGAAAGGGGCTGTTTTTTTCTATTTTTGCAGGCAACGGTCTTCTCATTTGCTTTCTTTTAACACTGATCAGCTGTAGGGCGGCCCTTTGAAGCCCCGCGGCAAGAATTTAAATGGTTTGTTTCACTCTAGCCATCAGCTGGGACTCAGGAGGCAGCAATAGATTGGGAGTGGGCGGGGTAAGCGACCGGCGACTGGCGATCCAACAGAGGCAGAGGGTGAGGGTGAGTGAAGACCTGGGGGGGGGCGAGAGAAGGCTTTGGCGACCCCTGTGAAATGGCCGTTCGACCCCCAAAAGGGTTGTGACCCCCAGGTTGAGAACCGCTGGTTTAGATGGTCTCCACCCCTCCCTCACAAGGAAGAGCGGCCCTGAAAGGAAGCTGGGGTCTATATGTGTCTCAGCAGGAGAAGGTCCAGGCTGACATTCTCATCCTTGCCCAAACCTGCCACCTTCAGCCTCCATTTTTCAAAGGTTGCAAACAGGACAAAGAGTCATCAGCGACTAAAGAAAAAAATATCCTTTTGCATTGGAGAGCAGGATTAATTCATGAGTGCTGTAGAAAAAAAGATGGGGAAGAAAATTAGAATATAAAGAGAAACATTTACTATAAATAACATACTTTTCTTCCTTTTCAGCTCCCACCCACAAGGCAGGCCCACACTGCAGGGGGGTGGTTGACAGGCAGGGACACATAGAGAGAGAATCTGCCCATTTCAGGGAGGAAAAGGCTGGGATGCTTCATATGAAGAAAGAAGACGGGGCTACAATGGGGGTGGCAGCAAAGGGGGGAGCCTGGAGTCACTTGGCCAGAAATTGTGGGAATTCTCACAAGGAGAAGGGGGGGTCAGGAAGAAGGGAGTTCATTAAGATGAGAGGGTCATCTCAAGGGCCTAGCTACCCCTTCCATCTGAGTACGAATGGAGCTGTAGAACGAGCTAACGTAATGATAGAACAATTTAATTTAATTTAATTTATCAAATTTCTATGCTGCCCAACTCCCAAGGGACTCTGAGATGTCAATACCTGAGATGCCATGTTAATTATCAGCAATTCAGCTGGGCAGACCTCCTGCCATTTGTTGAAGTGGCCTATAATACCTCAGTGCATAGTAGCATGGGATTCACCCCTTTTAAAATAGCCACGGGGTGGAATTTGTCCCCTGAATACCCTCGGGAACAGTGAGCCTAACAGAATGGGTGGGTTGCTTACAAAATGCATGGGGGCATGTAAACATGGGGTGCTCCCTCCCCAAGGGAGGAATGGAAAGGAATGGCCCCGACCTTCCCTTTGGCAATTTCCCAAAACTTGGAAAAATTCTGGGCAAGATTTTAGCATTTGTGTGTGCTTTTGTTTTTGATTGCAATACTTTTTCAAAGCTTTGTAAGGAAAAGCTGCCCAAAATCCAAAAATCTGCTCTATCCAAAGCAAGGAGATATTGTTCAGGCATGTTTTTTTTTAAAAAGGAACAATTAAGGAATTAAAAAAAACCACTTGTAGGAGGGCCTGAGATGAGGGAGGAAGAGGAGAAACTCACCTGCAGGTGGTTGGATGGGAGTTGCTGGAAGGAGAAAAAGACCCAATCAGAAACCTTCGTGGGCTGGAGGACTCAGAGATTCCCCCTCCCCATCGATAGCCCATAACAGTTTGGGGGATCTTCCCTTAATATCTCCTCAAAAACAAATTTACGTTAGTATTTCTCAAAGGGACCCTCTTGGCCACCTGCTAAGCTTGAGGAGAGGCCTCCCCTAGAGGGTCCCCTCCCCACAACCTCCCCTCCAGCCCCCCAGACTCACCTTTCTTGCTCTTCAGGTAGGAGAAGAGCCCCACAGCCAGGAAGGCCACTCCTATCACGGCCCCCATGATCCCCGTCCAGAGTTTGCTCCTGGAAGAGCTGGAGGAACGGGGCTCTGGGGAAGGAGAAGGAGCCTCACCTGAGCAGGAGGATCAGGCCCACCTTCCCCCAGGAGGGTCCATTCCAGCTCTCCCCATGGGGTGGGTTCCTCCCCCTTCTCAGGGCAAGATGGGGTCCACAGACCAGGAGGGGAGGGAGGGGAGGGGCTTACCCCACTGGATGGTGATGGGGGCCTCCAGACTGGCATGCCCCACCTTGCAAGCGTAGACATCCCCCCGTTGGGGCTGGGTCTCCAGCATCACCTGGAGCTGGTAGGTCCAGTCTCCGTTCTGGAGCTCCTCCCCGAAGGCCACGCCCTCCTCCTCCGGCTGCCCGTTCTTCAGCCACTGGACCTCGATCTCAACGGGGTAAAAGCCGGTCGCAGTGCAGAGGAGGATGGTGTTGGGGGAAGAGGGCTCCATCTTGGTGGGGGAGATGGAGACGGTGGGCTTGGCTGGAGGGAAGGAGGAGAAGGAGCCACATGAGAGACACAACAGGGCCCAGAATGGAAGACCAAGTTGGTTAGTTCAGGCCAAGATCCCTTTTCACTCCTGAAAATATACTGTGTTTTAAGTCATCTTCCAAAGTAAATTGCAGCAAGAAATTAAAAGGGATCCTGAAAGAGGGAAAAACGTTAAATCCTTCCTGATTGGGACCAATTGCAGTCTCCAAAAAAGAATTCTCCAAATAGGCAAGTCCAACTGGGATAAAAGCTGGAAACGCCCCAGAGGTGGAGGAACCTTCTGCCAGATGTGGTGGACATGGAAATAAATAACGCAGAAAACAGGAAGGAGAGACGCAGCACAAGTCGGATGATTCTTGGGATCTCGTTGAAAATGAAACCACACTTTTAATTAGGTGTAATACCACAACATTTGTTTGGTTGTTTAGTAAATTTAGTTATTTATTAAATTTATTTGCCAAAGTGGCCACAACCAACCCAAAGTCTTAGAGACACTCTCCTAGCGGTGTAAAATGTGATTATTGCAATGAGCATTCGATTTTTGTCTCATTCTAACTTACGAAAAAAAAGACAAAACGCGATTTTCATATCCTTATTCTCTTAGACTGTACAGCTTTAGATTATGTACCATTTCAGCATAAAGCTTATGAATAAAAAAAATGTCCACTATTTTGTGAAAAAAAATAGTGAACATAATGTGAAAAAAGTGGACTGTCCGCTCAAATAGTGGACACCTGGCAACCGAAACAAGACTCAGACGTGATTTTTCCCAGAGAAATGGAGGCTGAATTAATTCTGGGGAGAGTTGAGGGAAGGTTGAGAGCGTCTCTTGGTAGCCAGAGAAAAGCTTTGGCCTCTCGGGGGAAGGAGACGCCCGGATCTCTCCGGAGAGAAAAGTCAGCTCAGAAGTCAAAGAAAAAGGAAGAGAAAATTCCCCCCAAAATGACTCAAGAAACATCCGGTGATTTCAGGTCTCCTAAACTGGAGCTGCACCAACAATTGGCTTTAAATACACGGAATATTTATTGAAAGAACAGGAACCCCTGGAGAATTATTGGCCTCTTGTCTGAAGTATTTTCATGGAAGTAAAAATAATACTTTTGATGTAGAAGAAATTATATGAATCACAATGAAATTCAGGATCACTGTTTTGGATTTATAATAAAAAGGCATTCTATTTATGTGGATAAAGCTTGTGAGCAGCTAAAGCAACAAACCATCCAGAGATTTTGGTCCTGTCCCTGAACCAGAGGAAGGAAGGAAGGAAGGAGGGGGGGGGCGGAAAAGAGGAGGGGAGGATGGACTTTGGAGTCTTTGGGCAGCTGATGAAGCTCCTTTCCCTGAAGGGAAAATCCCCCCCCAGAGACCCCCAAAAGGAGGGAGGAGGGAGGGAGGCCCTGAGAGGCCCACAAAAGAGACACACTCACAACACCAACACAATTGGCACTTGGGGCACTTTCGGAGGTTATCAAAAATCACTAGATAAATGAATAAAAGTGGTGAAATCTCTATATTAAATATTATTGGAATGAGAATTATTTCAAGTACTGTGCCAGATGACAAGAATGTTGGGCTGTTTGTAGGGGAAAAATAAACTTTAAATATCATCCAGAAAGAAATTAAACAGCTGAATAGTATTATTTCCATGAAAATATCCTCTTTGGTAGTAAAAACATTTCCAAATGCATCTTATGTGGCAGCTGAAAATCCTCCCAGGTTTGCAGGGAAGAATTTAGGAGTGAAAATGAGTTTTGCCTCCAGACTGAATATGTGGAGAGCAAAATCTCTTTTGGTTCCCCTAAAACATTCAGTGATTTCCGGAAGGAGCAAATGCTCCAAGCGGCTTTTCTCTCTTAGGATCTGGAGGTTTTCCTCTTATGGAAGAAAGATCTCATTGGATTCTATGGTGAGACGTTATTTTTGGAGAATCTCTGGAGTCACAATGGGAACATTAAACTTAACCAGTTCTTAAGTGAAGATGCTTTCAAGACTTCTCTGATTCTAATAAAGGAATATAATTTTTCTGTAAAGGCCGAATGGCAACAAGGGCAGCTAAAATCCTTGATTTGCGCAATGCTTTTGGCTTCTGAAACCCCATCAGTGGATAGAAATATAGAAGATTTTTATTACAGAAAGAAATAAAATGTAGAAAAAGAAATGTAGGCAACATTGAAGGAATCTGGAAGAGAGAATTTATTTTATTTATTTATTTTATTAAATTTCTATACCACTCTTCTCCGGAAGGACTCAGCCCGGTGAACAGCCAGAAGATAAAACACAGAGAAACAAAATTTAAAATAGATTAAAACGGATTAAATAATTTGGCTGAATTTTAAAATACCCCATAATTAAACAGATTAAAATTTGTGTTTAAAATTTAAATTTAAAAAAGGAGAAGATTTAGGCCAGGCCAGCTTGATGAAATAAAAACGTTTTAAGCGCGCGATGGAAGGTGCGCAGATCCGGAATCCTCCGTATCTCCGGGGGGAGCTCGTTCCAGATCGTAGGTGCCCCCACAGAGAAGGCTCTCGCCCTAGGGGCCGCCAGTCGACATTGTTTGGCCGACGGCACCTGGAGGAGCCCCAGGAGGAGAGTTTGGAGCCTGGGAAGAAGATTTTGTCCATCTGAGACTGCAGAATAAATAAATAAATAAATAAATAAATAAATAAATAAATAAATAAGGAGTAAAACCTCCATCCGGGAGGATCCCAAGGAATGAAATGAAAGGGGGGGTTCTGGTGTCCCCCTCCCAGGGAATAGAATAGAATAGAATAATTTTATTTCTATACCGCCCCTCTCCCGAAGGACTCGGGGCGGTGTACAGCCAAGTAAAAACACAATACAAAATCACAATTTAAATTTAAAAAATTATTAAAAATATTACATTTAAGGCCAATTAACTAAAAAACCCCAGAAATTTAAGAATTCCAAATTTAAAACTCAATTTATGAAGCTAGCCCTGCCTGTCGGAAGAGCAGGGTCTTAAGAGCACAGCGGAAAATTCGGAGGTCAGAGATCTTACGTATTTCCGGGGGCAGTTCATTCCACAGGGCTGGGGCTCCCACAGAGAAGGCCCTCCCCCTGGGTGTTGCCAGCCGACATAACTTGGCTGATGGCACCCTGAGGAGACCCTCTCTGTGGGAGCGAACTGGACGGTGGGAGGCTACTGGTGGCAGAAGTCGGTCTCGTAGGTACCCAGGTCCTGAGCCATGGAGCACTTTAAAGGTGGTAACCAACACCTTGAATCGCACCCGGAAGACCACTGGGAGCCAGTGCAGCTCGCGCAGGAGGGGTGTCACACGGGCACAACGAGTTGCGACCATAACCACCTGCGCGGCCGCATTCTGGACCAGTTGGAGCCTCCGAGTGCTCTTCAAGGGGAGCCCCATGTAGAGAGCATTACAATAGTCCAGCCGGGAGGTGACAAGGGCGTGAGTGACTGTGCGCAAGGCATCCCGATCTAGAAAGGGCTGCAACTGGCGGATCAGGAGAACCTGATAGAAAATCCTCCCGGTCACGGCCGTGAAGTGCTCTTCTAAAGACAGCCGTGAATCCAGGAGGATGCCCAAGTTGCGAGCCCTCTCCGTGGGGGCCAATGATTCGCCCCCAATAGTCAGGGATGGCACCAGCTGACTATATCGGGACGTCGGAAACCACAGCCACTCGGTCTTGGATGGGTTGAGCCTGAGCCTGTTCCTCCCCATCCAGATCCATACGGCCTCCAGGCACCGGGACATCACTTCAAGGGCCTCGTTGGGGTGGAGATGTACAGATGAGTGTCATCAGCGTACTGATGTACCCTCACCCTAAAACCACGGATGATCTCACCCAGCGGCTTCACATAAATGTTGAACAGAAGGGCCGAGAGGACCGACCCTTGCGGCACTCCCCATGCGAGGCACCTCGAGGTCGACCTCTGCCCCCCTGCCAACACAAACTGCGAGTGGTTGGAGAGGAAGGAGGAGAATCACCGCAGCACGGTGCCTCCTATTCCTAACCCCCTCAACCGCTGCAGCATGATACCATGGTCGATGGTATCAAAAGCCGCTGAGAGATCTAATAGGACAGAACAGAGGAGCAACCCCTGTCCTGAGCCCTCCAGAGATCATCCACCAATGCGACCAATGCCGTTTCCGTGCTGTGCCCCTGTCTGAAGCCCAACTGGTAAGAGTCCAGATAGACAGCTTCATCCAGGTTCCGGGGAAGCTGTCATGCCACCACGCTCTCAACAACCTTCGCCACAAAACAAAGGTTGGAGACTGGACGGTAGTTGGCTAATTCAGCCGGGTCCAGGGTGGGCTTCTTGAGGAGAGGCCTCACCACCGCCTCCTTCAAGGCGGCAGGAAAGCTCCCCTCACTCAGAGAGGCATTTATAATCCCCTGGAGCCAGCCTCATGTAACCTCTCGGGCGGCCAGTACTAACCAGGAGGGACACGGGTCCAATAAACATGTGGCAGCACTAAGCCTGCCCAGAATCCTGTCCACGTCCTTGGGAGCCACAGGGTCAAACTCTTCCCAGATAATGCTCTCAAGACCTACCCCCATCTCTCCCCCTGGACTCACCCAGTTGGAGTCCAAGCCTTCCCAAATCCGAGCGACTTTATCATGCAGGAACTGCACAAACTCCTCAGCTCAACCCTGCAAGGGGTCTTCCCGCCCTCCCTCCCAGACTCACCTCTCCGGCCAATCAGGCGCTCCTCCACCTTGGCCGCCTCGAAGTTCAACGCCCGGTAGTTGATCCGGCAGACGGAATCCACTTGGGCCTTCACGATCTGCATGAAGTGCTCATCCCTGTTCCACTTGTCCACATCGGCCTGCCCCAATGGAGTGACGGCCACAAACTTCCCGCGGTCGCTGTCGAAGAAGGCGATCTCCTGCCGGTCGTAGAAATACCTGAGCAGGAACCGCACCCGCTGTGTCCCGTTGAGGAAGCGGCACTCGTGCTTCCACTGGTACAGGAAATTGGCTGGGAGGGGGAGGAGGAGGGGAAGGAAGGGCGTCAGGAGGGACTCCAGGGCCCATCGCTCCCAGAGGAGGAGGGGGAGGGTGGCAGGGGACCCTCTGAGAGACTGGAGGAAGACGCCCCCTGGAGGAGGGAAAGGGAACTCTCTCAGTCCCAGAGAGGAAGGAAGGCTTCCTGAGGGGGTCTGGAGGGGGGGAGAAAGGGGGGGAGGGGAGGGACCTTCTCCAGCCTCCCAGGGAGGAAAAAGGCAGGCAGAAGCTCAACTGGTCGGGCAGATCTCTTCTCTGCAGGAAACGTTGGATCTCAAGGGGCAGGAATTGGGGGGGGGGAGGGCTGGAGGGAAAGTAACGTCCATACCCCCCACTCTCTCTTCCTTTGGGAGGGCATATGGGGAGGGGGCATAATGAGGACATCTAGACTGACTCTCCCGGGGTCACCCAGCCATTCGAACCCCCACCTTCCCTGGGTCCCCCCAGCTTTTCTTCTTCCCCCGAATCTTCAGCCCAACTCCCTCCCTTTGGGGGATTCTCAGGGATCACCCGTTTCCTCTCCCCCTCCCCAAAAAGACCCCCTGCCACCCCTGCACCTCAAAGGGAGGGTCTCCAGCCCCCTTCACAAAGGGGAGCCCCCAATCTCCTTCTCCCTCAGTACTCCCCCTCCCCTCCAGGGGGATTATGGGGGTGGGGGCTTCTTGGTCTCCTCCCCAAATTCAGAGGCTCCCCAGAAGGGCCCGAAGCCCCCCTCTTGCCTGACCTTCACAGCCTCAAATCTGAGATTCAGGAGAAAAAGTGAAGTTTCTGAAGAAGGAAAAAGACTTTTGCTCAAATGCCTCTTTTCCCTTCTGGGGATTCAGGGCTGAAAATGCCTCAGTTTCCCTCTTTCGCTTTTCCTCCCCTTCCTCTTTCCCTGCAGCCCCCTCCCCCCTAGACGCTGCGGGGGGGGGCGAGAGGGGGGCCCGGCTGAGACCCCCGCTTTGGCTACAGTCGGGGAAGGGGGGAGGGGTCCTCCTGGGGGAGATGTGGAGAGAAAGGGGGAGGAGACCACGCAGAGATCGAGGCTGTTGGAGGCTCTGGAGACCCAGCAGCTTTCTTCCCCCCTCCGGGGGTCCCTCCCAGCCCCCTCCTCCCCCCAGCCCCCTCCAGCCCCTCCTTACCGGGGGTCTCCTCCCCCCCTTGGCTTCCGGGGATCCGGGCCAGCGCCCCCAGCAGCAGCATCAGGGGGAGCCCAGCCAAAGCCATGGAGGCTCCCCACAAGCGCCCCCAAAGAGGGAGGAGAAAGACGCTCCCAGCCCCAGAGGAGGAAACGGTGGATCTGGATGGGGGCGGGGGGAGTTTTCCTCGGACTTTGGAAGAGGGAGAGTCCAGAAGAGCAGGAGGACCAATGGGAATCCTCCCTTCTGCAGCGTCATCGGTCTCCGGGCAGAGCCTCCCTTGACTTCGCCCGATGCAGGAGATAGTTCCCAGCAGAGAGAGAAGCGGAGAAAGTGGGAGGGGGAATAATTTCACTCTTGGGGGGCTGCATTCTAGAGGGTCTTTCATGCCAGCTCCGGAGGGGAGGGTGGACTTCCTTTTCCCACCCACCCAGGATTCTCCTCCAATCCCTCTTTGTGCGCCTGGAGAGGTGGACTAGATGCCCTTTGAGTTCCCTCAGTGCCCAGAAGGAGCCTAAGCTGGAGCTGCTGGAGTCCAGAAGGGCAAAGTGGATCCAGAGCTCGAGGGGTCCTTCGGGGCTCAGAAGGGGAGGAGGGAGCCCCCAGCAGCTGCCCTGGATGACAAGGGGGGAGGGGCAGCCCCACAGCCAGCCAGGACTTGGGGGTCACACGCTCCCCCCAATCCGAAGGGAAGCCAGGAAAACCCTCAGCTGACAGTCCAGGCAGGAAGAGGCAGAGGGAATCTGCAGAGATCTCTCCTAATCCAGCCAGATCCTCTCCCCAGACCCCGCCCCCCTTCACGGGGGAATCTCCGTAGGGATCTCTTGGCTTCACAAGAGAAAAGGGCGATTTCCTTCCATGAAACACGCGTCTCCCCTGCACCTCCTTCCGGTTCCCCAACCCCAAATGTGAAGGAATCTCCCTCTTCCTTTCTTTCTGTGGGTGGGGATCCCCCTTTTCCTTGCAAAGCAGCCCCGGATGAAGATCCCGGAATGAAGTTCGGCCGTTTCTCCTCCGCTTCCCGCTCCTTTCCTCGGAGAACGTCCACATCTTCTCCCATAATGCACCACAATCTCTACTTTCAGCAGAAAAATATATATATAACGTTACATTTTGGAAGAAATTTTTCCATCTGATTGTGCAGCTCTAGAGTGGAATCGTGATGAGATTTGGATATTTTGGCTGTGGGACAGGAAGGCCCCTAAAACAAAAGGCTCCTTTTTATGATGCTTCATGCAGGAGGGGCTGGGGGGGGCCTGTCACGAGTGTTTCCAGGATTGCTGTGGCTACCTGCCTACTCACAAACAGTATGGTTTCAATCAAGCCATCTCCTCTTTGCAATTACCTGCAAGCCTTCCCCGCCCTAGTTAATTGCACATTAACTCCCCATATAAGCAAGGACCTTTTCGCTTGCTACTTGGGCCTAAACCCTGGATTTAGGCCTAGATGCAAGAGCTCTTGCTGGAAGCTGCAAGCAGAGCTCAGTGCAACGTCCGCAGATGGGAGAAGAAGCACAGATAAGGACTCCAGACACTGTTGCAGAGAAACTCCTACGGATGCTTGCCTTTTGCTGTTTTGAAGCACGCAAGCTATCATCGGGACTGCTGTTGCTGGACATTCTTCCTCCCAAACACTTCAAGCTACGTTTGCTGTTTGAACTGTTTTTACTTCAGGTGACTTTTAGCTGTGAAGTTTGTGCTGCCCCCACTTCAATTACCTTGATGATGTATCGACACCGAAGCTGCTTATCTTCATGTTAGCTTTATTCTCTTGTGAACTGTTTCGGTATTGGGGAGAGGAATCTAGGGAGATAGCCTTGCTTCACATACCCAGATAAGACTTTGTTTTTAATGTGCTTTCTTAAAGACATAGTGCTTTTTAAATGTTTTAAAGTAAATTATATTTTTACACAAGACGCCTCTGTCAGAATTATTTCAGTCTCAGTGTGTTTGCTCATGAGCTGGTTCACGGTCGGGGGTACCCCTCAACCCCATTTCATAACAGGGCCGAAGGCTTCGGGTGGGGAGAGGGCGATGGGGAGAGGGAGACTCAAAGGCTGAAGGGGACCTTAGAGACCTTCTAGTCCAGCCCCCCCCTGGCCGAGGCAGGAGCCCTTATCCCACCCCGGACAAATGGCTCTCCGACCTCTTGAAGACCTCCAGGGATGGAGCCCCCCTCCTCCCCCCCAATTCCAGATGGGGGAGGGGCTGCTGCACTGATTCATTGGTTCTCAGGTGATGCCTCCCCATCTCCTCCCCTGGGGGTTCCAAGGGGGGGTCTGAGTTCAGCCATGAGGCTGCCAAGGGGGGCTCCAAGGAGAAGAGGGAAATTGTCCCTAATTGACTTAATTAGAAGGTTAATCAAAGGGGAGGCCTCCCTCCCTCCCTCCCTCCAGAGGTTTCCTATTGAGCAGGAGGAAGATGGGGCGGCCATGGGGGAGGCAGCAAAGGGGGGAGCCTGGAATCCCTTGGCCAGAAATGTCAGAAGGAAAAGGGGGGAGGGGACAGGAAGGGCAATTTAGAGCCTGCAGTGCTCCCTCCCCCTCCCCCAAGGACAGGGATCCTCCCCCCCTTCCCTCCTGCAGCATCCCAGAACCTGGAGGAAGGTTTCGTGCTTTGTGTGTGTCTGTTTTGGTGTTTGAGGGCACCTCATGGTGGAGTTTTGCATCAGGAAAATCTGGCTGAAATTTCAACACTTTTGTTCCTCTGGAGCATGGAGGCCCTGCAAGGCAAATTCGAGGGCGGTTCAATTTATTTAGAAAGATTTTTTTTTTTTTTAAAGAAGGAAGAATTAAAGGATTTTTTAAAACTGGGTGCGGGGGAGGGGATCAGGTGAGGGAGGAAGAGGAGAAACTCACCTGCAGGAGGTCGGATGGGAGTTGCTGGAAGGAGAAAAAAGAGCCAATCAGGGCCCTTCATTGGGCTGGGGGAGTCAGAGGAGCCCCCTCCCCATCGATAGATCCCACAACATTTCCTGATGGGAGGAAGCTCTCCAAATAGATTTCTCCCCACTGCTTCCTACCTACCCAGACAGGCTGGATCCCTCCATCATGTGAAGAAGGGATCATCCAGATCACACCCAGCCCTTCAAGATCAGACTTTGCCCTGCAGAGGTTAGAGAGCCGGCTCCCCTCCAGATGTTGTGGCTGCTCCATCCCTGGAGGCTTTGAGGGAGAAACTGGGCAGCCCTTTGACCAGAGGGGCATAAGCTCTCCTGCTTGAACAGGGGGTTGGACTGGATGACCTCCAAGGTCCCTCTCAACTCTGTTATTCTGGATCCCATGTGTTACATTTCCAGGTGTCAGAAAAATCCCCAAATTTCTCCACCCTGACCTCGACCTACCTAGGCAGGGTGGATCTCCCAGGGGTCAGGTACTTCCTGGCCCAACAAGACCTTCTCTGCCACCTTGATGAGAGGCCTCCACCAGAGGACCCCCTTCCTCTCCAGCCCCACAGACGCCCCTTTCCTGCCCTTCAGGGTGAGGGTCAGGCATGGACCAAATCCCCCTCAGTCAATTGCGGAAGGCAGCTCTGCTTGCAACTGCTGAAATCCCGCAAGGAGGAGACCTTTCACTCCATCAGACTCCCACCTCCGCCTCTCCCGGGTCCTCGGAAGGGCTCGATGGGCGGACAAAAAGGCCAAATCCAGGCTGAACAGCTGAACATCCCCCGGCCCCTCCGAGAACCATCTCCTCCAAAGGACCCCTCGGTGGCTCCTCTGCCTGGAGACGGATGATGCTTCCAAAGCTCCATTTTTCATTGGTTGGGCTGGATGTTCGACTTTCTGGAAGTCAGAAATAGAATTCCACGCAATATAAGCTGAACTATAAGATACCTGTATGGGCAAACCCCAGACATGCAATAGAAAATATAAGTATAGAGCAAAAAATAGAGTTTGTTACTTATAAAGAGCTGCTTCTTTTGGAAAGGGGCAAGTTGCAATTGAAATCTCTAGATGAATTAAAAGAAGAAGGGATAATTTATACTTGGTTCCAGTATGGTCAGCTCCAAGCTAGATGGAGGGAGGATCAAAAAATTGGGGTTATGCAAAATGAGGAAAATTTGGCGAAACAGATTAGAGATCAAAGTCAGATGCATATTAAAAGGTTGTATAATGCATTACTGGAAATAGACTCAGAAACTGAATTGGTTAAGGATTGTATGATAAAATGGGCACAAAACTTTCAGGAACCAGTGATGATGGAAACGTGGGAAAAGATTTGGGTCAGAAATGTTAAATTTACGCAAGCACAAAATTTGAGAGAGAATTTTTATAAAATGTTCCCCCATCCCTCTTCCCCCCTCCTTTTACATCAACCCAAATGCATTGAAGGAGGTTTTTCTTTCTTCTGTTGCGTTTCTAGATCAGTTTGTTTATTTTTTATATACATAGTGCAACTCCACCTCCTCTTTTATTGGGTCTGTTTCTTTTGAACCCTTTAAATGTGAAGATATTAAATGGAATTGCTGGAAGAGGAAAATGCACAATGGTCCAGAACACACCGTTGTGGCTGAGTGCGTGCAGGCTCCTGTATGAGGTGATCTGCGCTCTGATTGGTTGCTGTGGGTGGAAAGGGGGAGTTTCCCTTTTTTCCCGCCTTTTTCTTCCATGGGCTCAGAATGCTGTTTGAGATTTACCTCACAATCTCCCGGCATTCCCGACTATCTTGTCTGCTGTGAATGTAGATGTGAAATACATTTATTTACATAAAACTACAAGTTTGTGTCCGTGTCTCCCACTTCCTTTGGACAGCTGCTGCCTGATTCCTCCGCATTAAACCTCTTTAGTTGCACCTTCCAATTTTGGGTTTCCTCCCATGAAGTTTTGGTGATTGCAACAATGTCACACCTGCCTTTGGGCTCCACCTTCACCCCGTTTATTCCTCGTACTTTGAGCATCCGTGCAGAGGCATCTGAGTCCCTCTTTGACTGACCCCATATTTGCTTTCTACATCTCCTGCTCTGTCTCCGAGTTTCCCTTCTTTCTTTCCATTCGGTTGATTCCCCTGAGATTTGAGCTTGGAATTTGCTTCTAAAACTTTGTCTCCTTCTCCCTTCGGTCTCACTTTCAAGCCCTTCGGATGAGGAGAGCCGGTTGGCGTCCAAAGCCGACCTTCTGGGCTCTTCTGAGGAGCAACTCATCCCCTGCCAGAAGCCCCCCATGTGGGTGTTGAGGACCATGGTCCAAGAATCCCAATTTCCCTCGAGTGAACCATCCCCTAAGCCAGGGTTGACTTCCAAGGTGCTGCCTTCCCTCCTTGGATGGTTCCCTTTATTGGGAGAGTCGAAGAGAAATCCCCCTGTGCCCCCAACTCTTTGGCTCCCTTGCCCACCTGCTCGTTTCCAGGGACTTTTTCATTCCTCCCAGCATGAAAGAGGAAAAAGGGATAAGAATCTGTGGGCTTCATTATTTCTGTAAGCCCCTCAGTCACGTCTTTGATAGCTGCTCCTGGGAAACAACCAACCACCTTAGTTTCATTGTCCGTCTTAGAAACGGCTGTTTCAGTTCCCCTAAACAATGAACCAACACAAGACTTTCTTTCTTTCTTAAGGAGGTCCGGTCTAATTTTTTCCTCTCCTGCCATTGGTACATTTGGTGTTGTCCCTTCTCCAGGTTCTTGCACACTGTCTTGCAAGGGGAGGCATTGCTCAAAGGAGCCCAAATCTTCTCAGGTAATTTCAGACAATTCCTACAATCACACTCCGACCTATTTTTCCTGTGGTGGCCCCAAGACCCCAGATGAGGAAGGGGAGGGGGAAACTCTGCCCCGGTGATTCCATTCAGGGCTGCCCCATTGAACGCCCCCTCTTTGTCCCACCGAGCAGGTCTTCCCCTCCGTGGCAATGTCTTCTGCACCAGAAACGGCTTCAGATGGATTCCTAGGAGGTCATCTAGTCCAACCTTCTGCTCAGGCCTACACCATTTATACCATCGAGCAGGAGACTCTCTACCATTGGAATCTGAGCCCCAAAGAGGGAGGGAGCCATTGGGTGCCAAAATGGGGCAGGACCCTCCAGTTGTGAAGAAGAGAAATGGCTGAAGTGGCTGGGTGAATGTAGGGGAGTCTCAGGTGCCCCCCAATGGCTCCCCACAAATGCTCAGGGAGGGCCGTGCCTGCTGGCCTTCTGCTCCTCCAAAGCAGGCTTGAGGGGAAGCAGAGCAAGGGGGCCTCTGAGCAGAAAGGGGGGTTTTGCCCCTTCGCCTCCCTGGATCTGCCCACCCTCCTCCTGAACCAGATCTGACTTCGGACCAAAAGTAGCCTGGATGGTGGATCCAGAGGCAGTGGAGGGAGAAGCCTCCTGCGGGGGCAGCAAAAAGGAAGAGGAGGAAGAGGAAGGGAGGATTCCAGGGTTTTCTTATATCTGAAGTTTATTCTTTTATAGCAAAGAGAAGGGAAGGGAAGTGAGTGGGAGGAAAAATAATGTAGATGAAGCTGCTGTGGGTTCAAAGCCAGGAGAGATGAGGGGTCTAGAGTGATAGGTCCACCTAGCATCCCTGGGACAGTCTAGATGGTCTCCACCCCTCCCTCACAAGGCAGAGAGGCCCTGAAAGGAAGCTGGGGTGTATATATGTGTCTCAGCAGGAGAAGGTCCAGGCTGCCATTCTCCTCCTCCCCCCAAACTGCCACCTTCAGCCTCCATTTCTCACAGGTTGCAAACAGGACAAAGAGTCATCAGTTGTTAAAGAAAAAATATGCTTTTGCATCGGAGAGCAGGATTAATTCATGAGTGCTGTAGAAAAAGAGATGGGGAAGAAAATCAGAATATAAAGAGACACTTTTACTGTAAATAATAAATTCTTCTTCCCTTTCATCCCCCACCCCCAAGGCAGACCCACACTGCAGGGGGGTGGTTGACAGGCAGGGACACATAGAGAGAGAATCCGCCCATTTCAGGGAGGAAAAGGCTGGGATGCTTCATATGAAGAAAGAAGACAGGGCTACGATGGGGGTGGCAGCAAAGGGGGGAGCCTGGGCTCACTTGGCCAGAAATTGTGGGAATTCTCACAAGGAGAAGGGGGGGTCAGGAAGAAGAGCCTGTCCAGGTTCCAACTGATGAACCCAAAGGAGTCTGTATGGGGTGCCAAGAAGGATCCCCTCGGACCGGAGGGTGGGGTGCAGTTCAGGGAGAAGTTTTGGAGGGAGTTCATTAAGTTTATAGTTTCATCTCAAGGACTCAGCTCCACCTCCCACCCGAGGACGAACGGAGGTATAGAACGAGCGAACGCAATGACAGAACAATACCTGAGATGCTATGTTCATTATCAGCAATTTAGCTGGGCAGATCTCCTGCCATTTGCTGAAGTGGCCTACAATACCGCAGTGCATAGTAGGGGTGAAATGTAAAATTTGTTACTACCGGTTCTGTGGGCGTGGCTTGGTGGTGGGGGGGTAATGTGACTAGGTGAGCATGGCCATTTTTTTTTTCAAATCATTTTTTTTACCACCTCTTTGGCTGAAGAGGTTGCAAAAAAAAATGCTTTGAAAAGCCTCTGATGATCCCAGTTGAGCTGCGCGATCATCAGAGGCTTTTTTTTTTTTACTTTTAAAAGCATTTTTTTGGCAGAAGAGGTGGGCATGGTGTGTGTGTGGGGGGGCAGGGCTTTTTGCTATTGATTCTCCCAACCACCTGCCACCATCGCTACCGGATCGGGCGATCCGGTCTGAACCGGGAGCATTTCACCCCTGGTGTCACCCCTTTTAAAATAGCCACAGGGTGGAATTTTCCTCATGCCTGGATACCCTCAGGAACCCCCCTCCACAGTGAGCCTAACAGAATGGGTGGGTTGCTTACAAAATGCATGGGGGAATTTAAACCTGGGGTGCTCCCTCCCCAAGGGAGGAATGGGAAGGAATGGCCCCCACCTTCCCTTCCCTTCCCTTCCCTTCCCTTCCCTTCCCTTCCCTTCCCTTCCCTTTTGCAATTTCCCAAAACTTGGAAAAATTCTGGGCAAGATTTTAGCGTTTCTGTGTACTTTTGTTTTTGATTGCAATACATTTTCAGATCTCTGTAAGGAAACGTTGCTCAAAATCCAAAAAAACTGCTCTTATCCACAACCAGGAGATATTGTTCAGGCAAGGTTTTTTTTTTTAAAGGAACAATTAAGGAATTTTAAAAGCCACCTAAAACTCTTAGGAGAGGTTGAGATGAGGGGGAAGAGGAGAAACTCACCTGCAGGAGGTTGGATGGGAGTTGCTGGAAGGAGAAAAAGACCCAATCAGGACCCTTCATGGGCTGGAGGACTCAGCGGGACCCCCTCCCCATCTATAGCCCATAATAGGTTGCAGGATCTTCATTTATAGCCCCTCAAACAAGAGAAGCTGCCAAAAATATTCCTCCAGGGGCCCCTCTTGGCCACCTGCTAAGCTTGATGAGAGGCCTCCCCTAGAGGGTCCCCTCCCCACCACCTCTCCTCCAGCCCCCCAGACTCACCTTTCTTGCTCTTCAGGTAGGAGAAGAGCCCCACAGCCAGGAAGGCCACTCCTATCACGGCCCCCATGATCCCCGTCCAGAGTTTGCTCCTGGCAGAGCTGGAGGAACGGGGCTCTGGGGAAGAAGGAGCCTCACCTGAGCAGGAGGATCAGGCCCACCTTCCCCCAGGAGGCTCCATTCCAGCTCTCCCTATGGGGTGGGTTCCTTCCCCTTCTCAAGGCAGGGTGGGGTCCCCAGAGCAGGAGGGGAGGGAGGGAGGGGCTTACCCCACTGGACGGTGATGGGGGCCTCCAGGCTGGCATGCTCCACCTTGCAAGTGTAGACATCCCCCCGTTGGGGCTGGGTCTCCAGCATCACCTGGAGCTGGTAGGTCCAGTCTCCGTTCTGGAGCTCCTCCCCAAAGGCCACGCCCTCCTCCTCCAGCCGCCCGTTCTTCAGCCACTGGATCTCGATCTCCACGGGGTAAAAGCCGGTCGCGGTGCAGAGGAGGATGGTGTTGGGGGAAGAGGGCTCCATCTTGGTGGGGGAGATGGTGACGGTGGGCTTGGCTGGAGGGAAGGAGGAGAAGGAGCCACATGAGAGACACAACAGGGCCCAGAATGGAAGACCAAGTTGGTTAGTTCAGGCCAAGATCCCTTTTCACTCCTGAAAATATACTGTGTTTTAAGTCATCTTCTAAAGTAAATTGCAGCAAGAAATTTAAAGGGATCCTGAAAGAGGGAAAAACGTTAAATCCTTCCTGATTGGGACCAATTACAGTCTCCAAAAAGAATTCCCCCAATAGGCATGTCTGACAGGGATAAATGCTGGAAACGCCCAGAGGTGGAAGGAACCTTCTGCCAGATGTGGTGGACATGGAAATAAATAACGCAGAAAACAGGAAGGACAGATGCAGCACGAGTCGGATGATTCATGGGATCTCGTTGAAAATGAAACCACACTTTTAATTAGGTGTAATACCACAACATTTGTTTGTTTGTTTAGTAAACTTAGTTATTTATTAAATTTATTTGCCAAAGTGGCCACAACTAACCCAAAGTCTTACAGACACTCTCCTAGCCGTGACTGCCACCTGCTCTCCGGGAGTCCAGGAGAATCTCCAGAATTGCCAACTGGGTCTCTGGGACAATGCAGCTCCACCCAGAAGGAAGTTGGTTAAAGTCCCCCATCTTGGGGCTCCCAACACCCAAAGCCCTTTGGCCTTTCCAGGGTTTAGCCGAAGCCCCTAATCCCCCATTCAGCCCCTCCCCCCACAGCCTCCAGGACCCTCGAGGGGGCAGCCTCAGCATCTCCTGGGTCCCCAGAGGTGGAGATGAAACCTTATCACATCAGCAGACGGAGGAGACCTCCAGCCCTGGTGACGGATGGCCTCACCCAGCGGCTTCATGCGGAGGTTATAGAGGAGAGGAGAGAGGACGGAGCCAAACGCCTCTGGGCAGCCCTGAAGGTGATCAAGCAAGATTGCCAAAGAAAGAAAGAAAAAGAAAGAAAGAGAGAGGAAAGAGGAGAGGAGAGGAGAGGAGAGGAGAGGAGAGAAAAGAGAAGAGAAGAGAAGAGAAGAGAAGAGAAGAGAAGAGAAGAGAAGAGAAGAGAAGAGAAGAGAAGATCCTTGTCCTAATTTTCTTTGGTGTTTCAATCACTTTTCAAAAAGTTTTATTTGGAGAGAGAAAATTTCTCCTTCCACTTTTCCTTTTCTCCCTTTAGGATCCACAAGATACACAAAAAATCAGCAGAAGATTTCAGGGGAAAAAGTGCAAAATGTGATGTGGCTGCAAAACCCCCCAATTTTAGGCAGCCTCAACAGAAAGAGGCATTTTGAAGGAAAGGGCAAAGGAGCCCAATGGGGGGGGCAGCCCTTTGCTCCCCATAACTGCCAGAATCCCCTGAAGGAAAAGTTTCTCCCCCATTGAAGATGAGAGATCCTGAATCTCCCCTTCAGAGCAGGAAGGGCAGAAGAGGTTTTGGGGGATCTCATGATCTCTCTCGAGGATCCTTCCTGGGGGGGCTTTGGGGGGATTCAGAGGGAGACCCACCCCAGACCAGGCTCTGCCTGCACCCAGCCGGCCTCCTTCCCAGCCGCAGGAACCGGCCATTCCTGGGGAAGGAGGTGGGGAGGGGTCCCTCTGACTCCCTCAGGGAAGCTTCTGCCCTGGATGAGGGGGGCAGGGAGTGGGGAAGGGATCCAGAGGGGATCTTGGATCTGGATCTCCTCCTTCAGCAAATGCTCCAACTGGCCCACCTCTTGGATGGATTAATTGGGGGGGGGGTTAGTCTGGATGAGCCCCCCAAGAAAGTTGACAATAGATCCATTCCAGCCCAGAGTCCTTTGCTAACCATTTTTTTTTTCTCTTGAGGGATTTTCTTATTAAGAGTAAATTCTATGATGCTAAAGAACAACCCATTTTTAAATGGTTCTTTGTAATTCCAACCTGGGATCTGGTCAGGTTTCCACGCAGACAAATAGCAGCATTTCAGGTGTGAGTTGTTTTCTTTTTTCAGGAAAATCCCATTTGCCTCTTGGGACATTAAAGGCCTTTGTGGAATTGCTAAAAGAAGGCAGAGGCTTTACAAACTGAAAATGGTCTTTTTTTAAAAAAATAGGAAATGCAAATTTTGGATGAGAAAAAAACTCTTTTAGCAAGAAAATGGAAGGATCAGATATTAAATCAGTGGAAATTCAAAAGCTGCAATTTGGTATTTTTCCATGTTTATTTTTATAGCCCATCCCAAACCTCCTTATTTACAAGACTGCAGTGTGAAGATTTTGGGGTTCCAATTTGGCCAGTTGGGAGTTGCTGGATTTTAATTGGATCCGATTTTTTTTCCTTTTTAAATATCTACCGAGAGACCCAAGTTTCAGGTCTCCTAAACTGGAGCTGCACCAACAATTTGCTCTAAATACATGGAATTTAATAAATATTCCTGTTCTTTTAATAAAGAACAGGAACCCCTGGAGAATTATTGGCCTCTTGTCTGAAGTATTTTCATGGAAGTAAAAATAATACTTTAGATGAAGAAGAAATTATATGAATCACAATGAAATTCAGGATCAATATTTTGGATTTATAATAAAAATGCATTCTATTTATGTGGATGAAGCTTGTGAGGAGCTAAAGGTTTTTCACAAACTATCCAGAGATTTTGGTCCTGTTCCTGAACCAGAGGAAGGAAGGAGGGGAGGGAGGGAGGAAAAGAGGAGGGGAGGATGGGCTTTGGAGTCTTTGGGCAGCTGATGAAGCTCCTTTCCCTGAAGGGAAAATCCCCCCAGAGACCCTCAAAAGGAGGGAGGAGGGAGGGAGGCCCTGAGAGGCCCACAAAAGAGACACACTCACAACACCAACACAATTGGCACTTGGGGCACTTTCGGAGGTTAGGAAAAATCACTCGAGAAATGAATAAAAGTGGTGAAATCTCTATGTTAAATATTATTGGAATGAGAATTATTTCAAGTACTGTGCCAGATGACAAGAATGTTCTGTTCCTTGTAGGGGAAAAATACACTTTAAACATCGCCCAGAAACAAATTAAATAGCTGGATATTATTATCTCCATGAAAATATCCTCTTTGGTAGTAAAAACATTTTCAAATGCATCTTATGTGGCAGCTGAAAATCCTCCCAGGTTTGCAGGGAAGAATTTAGGAGTGAAAATGAGTTTTGCCTCCAGACTGAATATGTGGAGAGCAAAATCTCTGCAGGTTCCCAGAAAATATTGAATAATTTCCAGAAGGAGCAAATGCTCCAAGAGGCTTTTCTCTCTTAGGATCTGCAGGTTTTCCACTTATGGAAGAAACATCTTATTGGATTCTATGGTGAGACGTTATTTTTGGAGAATCTCTGGAGTTAAACTTAACCAGTTCTTAAGTGATGATGCTTTAAAGACTTCTCTGATTTGAATAAATGAATATAATTTCCCTGGAAAGGCAGAATGGCAAGAAGGGCAGCTAAAATCCTTGATTGGCCTCTGAAACCCCATCAGTCGATAGAAATATAGAAGATTTTTATTAGACAAAGAAATAAAAGGAGAAAAAGAAATGTAGGCAACATTGAAGGAATCTGGAAGGGAGAATGAAAGAATCTGAGGCTTCAGGGCTGAATGGAGGCCCAATTTCTTTCTTAGGACCCCAAATTCAGTTTTAAGGTTTGTGGGCGTTTTTGGATTCTCTCCCCAAATCAGGAGCCTCCCCAGGAAGGAAGACGGAAGAGATCAGGGTTCCTATTATTGGGGTTTTTACATCTCGGTTTAAGCATTGAATCATGATTACAAATTCTAAGCTGCTTTTGTTACTCATCTGTTTCTTTATTGGATTGAAAAGCTGCTGGACTGGAAATGACTCTGAATGAATAAAGATGAAAGAAAAGCAGAAGATCCATAGAAAGGGGTCGACAGGTGAAAAAGTGTCCACTAATTCTTTTTTTTTATTTTGGGTAAAAAATAAGGTTTTATCCCAAAGTGCCCAAAAGCAGCATTTCTGGGGCAGAGGAAGAGAGGGAGGGGCTTCTGGGTGGGAAGAGGGAGGGAGACGGGAGGTTCCTGAATAGGATAGAAATGAATCAGGGATAGAGAGAAATATATATGTAGATACAGGGAGGCCTCGACTTAGGACCACAATTGAGCCCAAAATTTCTGTTGCTAAGTGAGAAATTTGTTCAATGAATGTTGCCCCATGTTACGACCTTTCTTGCCACAGTCGTTAAGTGAATCACTGCAGTTGTTAAAGGAATAACATGGTTGTTAAGTGAATCTGGCTTCCCCACGGACTTTGCTTATGGGAAGGTCGCTAAAGGGGTCCCGGACATGACTCCGGGACGCTGTGACCGTCACAAGTAGGAGTGTGTTGCCAAGCATCTGGATTTGGATCACGTGACCCTGGGGTCCCAAGGGGGCTCTGGGGCTTTGCTGGGGGGGGCAGAGAGGGGGAGGCAGCCTTAATTCCCTGAAGCCTTTTAATTAAGTCTCTTCATTAATCAATTAATTGATTTTTCCACTGAATTGGAGTCATCCTTCCTTTTGAAACAACCACTAAATCTTCACCCGGGAGAGTCTCAATCAAGGGAAGGAAAAGGGGATCCCCTCCCCCAAACTCCCCCCCAAACTCTTCTCCCCCCCTCACGAACTCACCTGTCCGGCCAACCACGGAATTGCTCTGGAACACCCCGTAGTTGTGCCGGCAGAAGCGATCCACTTCGGCCTTCTTGTACTGTATGAAGCGCTCATCCCTGTTCCACCTGTCCACATCCGCCTTCCCCAACTCCGTGACGGCCACGTACTTCCCGAGGTCGCTGTCGAAGTGGAGAAACTCCTGACGGTTGTAGAGTTGCCTGTACAGGTATCTCACCCGCTGCGTCCTGTTCAGGAAGCGGCACTCGACCTTCTCCTGGTACAAGAAATGGGCTGCGAGGGGGAGGGGGAGGAGGGCCGTCAGGAAGGACTCCAGGGCCCATCGCTCCCAGCCGTTGGGAGAGGAGGGGGGGACCCAGGTGGGAAAGGGGCGGGAAGGGGGACCTTCCTTGGACAGACTGGTGGAAGACGCCCCCTGGTGGAGGGA